TCGGTATAACTTACGAGCTTAGTGAAGGAAGGAACTTCGTGTCTGATTTGCCCACGTCATGAAATTCCCAACACATTTAATCACAGCCACAGTCACACACACACACACACACGTAATAATATGTTGTTTTGCGGCAAGCACGGGCGGGCGGCGCGCCGCACGCTGGCAACTAGCGCCGGTTGCGGCGTCTTTGATGAGAAGAAAGAAGGCGTGAATTCCGCCCACCTCCCCTCTTCCCCGCACGCGGTGGTTTGCTTTGATTGCATGCAAAACGCAGTCGCAAGTATATCAAACGCGCGTGGGCGTGCGCATCTTTTGACTTAGTGACATACACTGTGATAATTTCATTATGCCTCGGTATACGAACCAAGAATACCTATTTAGAGATGGTGTACTGCTATCGCGAGTGTGACGAAGTAGGTTTGGTTTACGAATGAGTCCCCAAACCATAGAAGTTGCATTTTGTGCAGTGTAGTAGTAGTGATAAGGACACTTTAAAAAAGGTGAAAAGACACGTCCGCAAACATGCCTACCTTTGTTTGCAGCAAAATGGTGGTTTAGAGCAACAATTTTGCAGATAATAATTTAACTCTTTTTATTGCTAGTGTAAATACTTTTTGATTAGAAACAACTAATTGTGTACTACCAGTATGATTGATTTCATAAAAAGTTCTAGTGAAAAAAATGAATATGTTCCTCGTTGTACCTACCTACATCGCCGGTCTCGTAAGTACTTTTGAATACCGGGTTATAAATTTCATTCTGACCCAAGTATTGAACTGCAATAAGTATTTCTTTTTGTTTAACATTTGCCTATTTCCAATCGTGACAAAATTATTATTAACTTTTAAAGTTTTTCTCTGCTTAAGAGAAGATGACATTTTGTGCTTATTATTTCAATTTCAATAAAGGCATCTAAGACGATTTTATTGTATTGTGTGGAATCAAACGAGTCAGCTGAGCTCTGTGTAGAGGTACCTACTCACTCAACGGCTGGCGGGCGCGGTCGGTCGTTGACCCGCGGTGGAATTTAATGTTTTTCCGTTTTTTAGAAGTGCTTATTTATTAGTTGTTTTTCACTGGATATGTAAGTTTGTTTGTTTAAAATGAATAACTACTCAAAAGGAGGAAAGGACATAAAAATACACAAATTATAAATAAATACATGAAAAAAATATACTTCAAAAAAATCCGAAAAAAAACAGGCATACTCTATACACATAACCCAACAATCTCACGAAGTTTCATAGAAACATTCAATTTCACCCTATATAAGCATATACAACATATTTATATAGAAAAACATATTAAACGTCTATGACTGCAGTACAAATGCTCGTATTCATCACACAAACATCTGCCCCCACCGGGATTCGAACCCGGGACCTCTCGAGTTGGCGACACCATGAAATCCGGCGTACAAACCACTCGGCCACAGAGGTCGTTAAATGTTGTTACGTGTCTGGATGGGGTTAGAAATTATATGCCAGTTCATGCTTGACAGTTCTTTGTTCACCACACAACTCTTCAAAGCACGGAGGAGCTTTAGATAGTAAATTTTTGGTCACCCATCCAATGACCGACCACTACGAAAGTTGCTTAACTTCAACGATCGCAGCCGAACGCGTTAATCACTTGCGCCATCGAGCTCCTCGGTCGTTGCGAAATCGCTGTTGAAACTCAACTGTTATCGCATTGAAACGCGCCGGACGCCCTTAAATACGCCAATTAACGCATTCCAGAAAAGTTCAGTTGGATTGGGAATTAAAAAGTTCACGTACCTCCTACCCATACGTAGGTAAAGCGCATGAGTTGTAAATAATTGCAGATATCGTTGCACTTTCACCCTTACGCCGCCTTGCATAAGGCTCATATTAGAATGTTTTTTTTTTGAGTGTGTATGCTGTTGGTCGCAGATGACCTTTACAGCGTCACCGGGTTTGGGGACGGCGAGATACTAAGGGTACCTCAAGCCGAGAATTGGCGAGTGCCTATAGAGGTATTCCAGGCGGATGGCATCTCCCTACGGGGGGAGTCTCCTCTCTGTCTGGAGCCTCTAGACCACTCGAACCTGAGGGGGTAGACTCAACTAGAGGGCGTCTCTGTGCCTCGAACCTTGGTTCTAGTTAGCCGTTGTCGTGGGGGGCGGGGAAAACGCCCAGGTCTTCGCACTCTTATCCTACGCTGATTTCGTCGTCGGGGTACTCTAAGACGTACCTAGGCCGATGGAATCGGAGGGATATTAGAATCAATGGCGGCGCTAGACCACATGTGGACGTCGGCGACATCAAGTTCGCGAGGCCTATTTTACTTCGCAGTAAAAAACCGTTAAATTAAGTGAGCCAAATTATAAAATAACGTATGAATAAACGAGTTTTATTGTTGATAATCAAATGATGACAAAAAATAATTACAAACATAGAAATTTAATAACAAAAATAGTGTTGCCAGACAGACGATTCTGAATACCCGTAAAGTACTACTCGCTTCCATCACGCACGTGTTCGAAAATAATAAAAGTCAGATGATAATGACTTTTATTATTTTCGAACACGTGCGTGCTTAGCTTTTTCCCCGAATTGTTCGGGGTCGGCTACCTAAGCTTTTAAAATTTGCAAGCTACCAATTTTTCTGTGCAGTTAGCAACAGCCTGTAAAAGAGATTGCTCAAATTGGCCCAAACGCACAAAAAGTATTGACATACACGGTAGTTCTTGGCGTAATTTATAATTTAATTTACAGTCATTAGATTTCAACGGACACCTGTGTATAATATATTTACTTTAAAAAGGACTTTTAATTTTACCGGTTTGGAAAACATAAGAATCATTTTTAATGACTATGGGTGTAGTAACATTCAGCCAAAGACTGATAGAAGTTGTTTATATAATATAAAAACAAATCTATTTTGTAAAAATCGATAAAATAAATCATTTTTTTTATTACACTATGGTATTAATATCCACAACTATATATGCTCGTAATGAGTTTACACTTTCTGAAACCAACTTTATTAACTTTTGTGATGTGCCGTCAACATCGTCATTAACACTTCGCTCAGCATCTATGTTATCATCTGGAATAGGGCTGCCATTTCTAAAATGTGGCAACCAGGATAAGACGCGTGATAACCCCGGATTTTCGAACCCAGAACCCGGACAGACCAATAAAAAACAGTTAAAATATCATAAATCAACTTTTTTGTGTTGATCTAGGCAAAAGAGCATAAGTCTACCTCATAATAAGTGATCACTGCTGCCCATGGACACTTGCAGCACCAAGGGTCAGTCATGCGTTGCCGTAAATTTTTAAACCCGGACTACAAATAAAACCCCGCCCGGACGCTCCCTGGACGCCCCGTAAACTAGGACAAATCCGGGAAAACCCGGACGGATGGCAGCCCTAATCTGGAAGTAAGGAAGGGTTTATAATCTTCACTATTAGGTCATTCTGTGATTGCCACAACGCGTCGTGCGCGTTTTAGCACAGTCAATCTGTCGAAAAAAAAATCGTTTCAGTGAAAAAAAAACCTAAAGGTAAGTCTTGTTTTTTCTGTTGCCAAATGACGTCAGTAAGCCACCTTGGCGATGGGCATGTTCAACTCGTAGGCGTTTTTTGTAAAACTCAAAAAACCCTCAAATTTTTTTTGAAACGCATTTTTCTTGTTTTTTATGCATTTTAGTAATTTTTTTCGACCATAATTGTAGAGGGCGTTGAGTACATACTACAATTTATGTCATTGTTGCAATCTCGTACATCAAAAATGCGCATTGTAGGTGGCGCTAAAGTCTCATAAAAAGTGTTTTTCACTTTTTCACCCTGAAAATATCATTTTAATGGAAAACTTTAAATGGCAAAGTTGTTTCGTACATAATTACCAACAACTTTTGTATAAACAATTTTTTTGTATTACTTACCGTTTTCAAGTTATAAATTGCGCAGGTATGAAAAATCCAATAGAGCGGTTTTGGGCAGTTCAAGTACACATTTGCAGTGCACATTTCAATGTACGTTTTACTATTTTTTATTTTTTTTCATGATTGTAATAATGAAAAGAAAAAGTCTCCATAGGACCGAAAAAAATACCGTTAGCAGCACTGTGTTGTATACGTAGCGCTGTATTGCACTGTAACTTGAAAACTGTAAGTAATTAAAAAAATTGTTTATACAAAAGTTGTTGGTAATTAATTATGTACGGAACAACTTTTCCATTTAAAGTTTTCCATTAAAATGATACTTTCAGGGTGAAAAAGTGAAAAAACACTTTTTTGAGACTTTAGCGCCACCTACAATGCGCATTTTTTGTTGTGCGAGATTGCAGCAATGACATAAATTGTAGTACTCAACGTCCTCTACAATTATGGTTGAAAAAAAAGTTTCTAAAATGCATACAAAACAAGAAAAATGCGTTTTAAAAATTTTTTGAGGGTTTTTTTTTGAGTTTTTCAAAAAACGCCTACGAGTTGAACATGCCCATCGCCAAGGTGGCTTACTGACGTCATTTGGCAACAGAAAAAACAAGACTTACCCTTTAGGTTTTTTTTTTCACCACTCAACCTACAGATTGACTGTACTATTTTCATTATAGCCATATCACCAATTTCGCGATGTGGATGTTTTACTGTGACCACAACGCGTTGTGAGCTATTTTTCCGCTCACTGAGCGTTTTCGATCTTTGAGCGTAGCATATACATATACAGGTAAATGTTCTGCAAATTACTGATGATTTTTCGCATTTAGATGATATGAAACACTCCGAATATGTTTTCTATTCAAAGTTCAAGTTATTTAAAACTGATTTTGAGCTTTATCTCGCTTTACGTAAGATTCGAAATTCGCCGTTTTTAAGTTAAAAAGAGTGGCCAATTGTTTAGATTTCAAAATCCAGCAAAAAATATAATTCGTAAATATTTTACTAAGTTTTGAATATCGCTTTGAACTAAGAACTATAATAGTAACTTTATAATACTAACTTTCACTTATATTTTCTTCAATATCAGATCTAAAGTAGTAATCAGCAAGATTCTGGACGCTAAAATGAAGGAAATCGAGATGGGTGTTGATGGTTTCATGGTTTACGATACAAGGACCGTGCAGCACATAAACAGGGTAAATAATTTTTATTTTTCAATCAATTCTAATCTTTATTTCTTCGGACTTGATGGCGCAAGTGTTTAGTGTGTTAGACTGCGATCGTTGAAGTAAAGCAACTTTCGCTGTGATCGATTCGCCGGCTCAACGCAATTATAAGGAATATAATCAATTTATTGTCATTCTTGACTGACGAGATAGATATTGTGATTGTGAGTAAATAGGTCTGAATCCTGGGCCCAATCCATTCTTATAATCGGTGAAGATAGGTGGATACTCGATCGAGGAGGAGCTCGATGGCGCAAGTGGTTAGCGCGTTCGGCTGCGATCGTTGAAGTTAAGCAACTTTCGCAGTGGTCGGTCATTGGATGGGTGACCAAAAAATTACTCTCTCGAGCTCCTTCGTGCTTCGGAAAGTATGTTAAGCCGTGGGTCCCGGCTGCATCTGCAGTTGTTAGCGCCCACGAATCCGCACTGGGCCCTCGTGGTGGGTCACAGCCCAATCTTCCATTCCATCCACAGGGAAGGCCTGTGCCCCAGCTGTGAGGAAATTAATAGGCTGAGGATGATGTAGTTTTGTAGTGAAATTTCTTACAAAAAATCCTATGGAATTGGACATCAACTATCTATACACTGTCTTTAGTTTCTTGTCTTTCTAACGAAAAACATTGTCTTAAACGTGGCGTATACGGCGTTCCATCGTACGTGGCAATGTGTTTCTTTACGTGTTACGTGGCACTACAGGGAGAATTATTTCTCATCAATTGCAATTCGTTATAAACATACTTACATACGAATCTTTCCTCTTTATAATATTAGTATAGAAGTAAAGATTAATATAGGCTATAGTGTATTTTCAAAAAAGTTAGGGATCCGTAGGAAAAATTCGATAATGTAATCCATCGTGTGTAAAAAATACCAAAACATAGCATTATATCGCGTACGCTGCGGAAGTCATTGACAATAGAGCAAAGTGATGTATTAAAGTTTTATAGAGGATACCAATATCTACAAAAAAGGCCACTATACCATATGTCTAACTTTTACAGTTATGTCACAACTAGAGGTCACACTGCGGTTTCACCCGCGTTAATTTGAAGAAAAAGATTTATAGTGAGTCAAACTTAAAATATGGACATAGGCTGTTGTTGACTTTTTTACAGAACTTTTAAAGGCGAACAATTCCGTCATACATGATTTTTGTGTAACTTTAACCGTTTACCCAGCGCACGCAACGGAATCTCACAAATGGAATATTTTTACCCGTTTTCGCAACGTTGTTCATCGATACTCCGCTGCTACTGGTCGTAGCCTGGTAATATGTAATCTATATCCTTCCTCGATAAATGCACTGTCCAATACAAAAATATTTTTTCAAATCGGAACAGCAGAGCAATGTTGCATTCGGTACAACTGGTCCTGAACTACGCAACGAATTTTTTACTGGGATTGGAAGGTTTATAATTATTATTATGAAGAAAGTCATTGTGTATAATACAAGCCATTGAACAAAAACTAGGGTCTACACTACAGCTCTACACCGAAGCAAAGCGGGGGCGGGCCACTAGTCAGTGATAATGTAGCATTCAAATGGTGAAAGAAGTTTTGAAATCTGTCCTTTAATTTTTAGCCAATTCGTTACAAACATACTTACATACAAATCTTTCCTCTTTATAATATTAGTAGAGATGTGTGTGTGTCTGTGTGTGGGATGCGTGCGCAGCTCTTTCGACGAACATGAAAGTTGGAGGGTAACTCGGCGAAGACTGAAACGCTACGAGCGTCACACGCGACTTTGCCTTTCCCCTTCCCCTTAAGCACCGCTTACTGTTAGGTTATTTAAGAAAAGAAGTTTTACTTCATATGTGTACTAATTTTTTCAAATCTGAAATGGCCCGGGCAGATTTTAGATATACAGCGTATTTTAAAATCTGGCAACTTGATGATAATAGTAGGTAGGTAAGCATAGTTTTCTTTTATTTGCTTCAGCCATGTATTAATTGAGGAGCTGGCGAACAAAACGGTATAATTACGCATTTGGTCAAACTACTTTTTTTTACAGTCCGGAGGTTTCGGGCCCGTTGGATTTGAATCAAATCAAATAATTTTCAATCAAAAGCGCCTAAAACAGTGTTGAAATCACTAAATTTATAAATTAAAACCACGCCAAAACTCACTGGAGGTATGTCATTTAGTTTCATATAGCTCCTGTAAAATTTAATTTTATACAATTACTAGCTGTCCCAGCGAAATTCGTACCACCATAAAAAATAGGGGTTGGTGGTAGAAGGGTGAAAATTTAGGGTCGTAAGTATTTTTGTATGATGTATCATAAAAAAATAAAAACAAAACATTTTGAAAAAAAATTAAGTGTGGACCACCCTTAACATTTAAGGGGATGAAAAATAGATGTTGTCCGATTCTCAGACCTACCGAATATGCATATAAAATTTCACGAAAAGCGGTCGAGCCGTTTCGGAGTAGTTGAATTACGCACACCGTGACACGAGAATTTTATATATTAGATACCATTTTGTTCGCCCATTTTATAATACTGTGTTTGTTTACTAGACTATAGGACAACCATTCGATCGTCGATCGAACTTATGAATACAAGCAGTTCTTAAATCACTATACTTGAACAATGTATTTAAATCGATAGGCAAGGCACCTTTAATAATAAACTGTTTTATAAAAACTCAGGAAATATTTAAACGGTAGGTACAATAAGTCGTACGTTCATTGTTGTTGAGTGAGTGAGCAAGTGCGTAACAATACATAAGCAAAAGAAATCTGTTCGCGAGCGGGTACTTATATACCGCGACGATTACGATACTGAGATTTTTTGTGGTTGTTTTTTAAGTGAAATGAAATGAAAAGTCATTTATTCAGTCTAGGCTGTTACAAGCACTTGTGAAGGTCAAGAAGCTACGCCATTGGTTCGTAAAACTACGGCGGGAGACCTTGTACTGAGAAGAACCGGGAAGAAACTCAGCAAGGGCTGCTTTTTTCTCCCTGTATTGATATATACAGAGTCGTCAAGTTAAAAAATGACTTCAGAGATACTCCTGAAGTCACCTTCCATTACATTATTTAGGATATTGATATATAGTTATAATAAATTTTATATTTAGTATATAGGAAGCGGCATTAGATAGGTACCATATTACTGTTACAAAAACTGACTAATACCCGTCAACTAACAAATTACAAGAAACACTATGTCCATGCATTACGATCATTTAGATAATCATTAACTTTATAATAGCCCTTATTCATAAGAGTATTTTTGATCTGAGATTTAAATTTGGTTACTGAAAGCTCAATCAGATCTTGGGGAACTTTGTTAAACAATGCAATACTACATCCCAGAAATGAACCTCTTGATTTTTGGAGTCTGAAACATGGCAAGCTTGTTCTTAAATCTCGTGTTAAAGTTATGCGTTTGACTTTTTTTTGCAAATGCGTCATAGTTTTTTCTTACATATATTATATTTTCATAAATGTATTGCGATGCCAGTGTTAAAATATTCATTTCTTTAAATTTTTCTCTAAGAGATTCTTGCCTTTAAATTATATATAGCGCGAACAGCTCTCTTTTGCAGTACGAAAATACTTTCTATATTAGCAGCTGAGCTCCACAACAAAAGGCCATATGACATAACGAAAGAAAGAACTAAATCTAGGTAAGTACTTACTTACCTAGATTTAGTTCTTTCTCTCCTAGCAAACTAGATTTACCAACTTTATTTCTATCAAATATAGTACATATTTCTGAAGTTGTTACCTCTAAAAATATAGTAGATGACAAAAAAAATAGAAAAGAATATTGGTATGGCGAGTAAATAACCATCCACTGGATGCGGGTTTGACAATATAAGTATGTGCGGCAGGCGAATTATTATGTACGAGCTGTTTGGACACAAAGAAACAAGTGGAAATTGAATAGGCGCAATGCCACCAACGACTCACCTGGATGTCTCCCTGCCTCCTTATCGAGCTTGCACGCGTGGGCACAGCCGAAGCAGCTCTTTCTCTCTTCCTCTGGGTGCGGTTGAAATCTTCTACGCGATTTCCGCGACAGTTACGCGATGCGTGTCAATATGATATGTGCGTACGACCGATCTGCACCGAATCCGAAACAGCAGAGAGCGGCCGTTGGAAATGACGAGCCAACGACCGTTATTAAGTTTGAGTACCCGCGCATAACATTATTCGCAGTACCCACATATCTGCCATCTGGACAGGTTCGCAGATCCAACACTAGGTGGCGTCAGCGAGCATATTGCAAATCCGAAAGCCAAATGCGAACATTGTTGATGTAAAAAAAACTCACACATAATAAAACGCCCGACCAAATATAGTATGCGGTTAAAATATTTACTTTATTTTTGAAATGAGTAATTGAGTATACTTTTGCTGCTCTATACCTTAATACTTTAGTTTTTATTTTAAGAAAGCTTTTACTAGCAATAGTCTGTTTTAAGCAAAATATGAAGTTTCGCCTACTATATATATTTTTAGAAATATAGTATTTGATCCCCTCATGTAGTAGGATAATATATTATATAGAAGGGTTGGCAACCCTACAGCAAACTGGTGTTGCCAACAGTTTAAGGGATCATTTATATTTCGTGTATAAGAATGTGATATAGTATCTTGTGGGGATTATCCTGTGATGTTATTACAAGACTTAAGGTGGAAACTCGGTAACCTCCTGCGCCATCGAGCTCTTCAACCAACAATATTAAAAACCCTAGATATACCACGAGCTCTCAAAATATGTCCCAATCAAGAAGTGCTTGTGGTGCATAGTGACTCGTGGACCGTTGAAAAGTCAACATTTTTATTTATTTATTTGCTCACAAAACAAGTTACAATTAAATATAAAAAAACCAAAGCAATTATAATAATATCAAACCAAACTGTAACTCTAAATATGTGGGCATAACATGATAAAATTTTATGGGCTGAAGTTTACACAAAAGAAAAATATTTAAATCGAATTTCAACAATCAAACAACAAAAAATACGTGAGGGCCGCGGTACCTTAATTGGTCAGTGCATTCTCCCGGATTGCGAAGGGTGCGGGTTCAAGTCCCGTCTGCTGCCTGGTCCGCGTGGAATTTTTTTCTAGTTATATTTTCTTTAGATTTAAACATCAAGCGGTTACATGCTTAAAAAAATATAACTATAATTGCTATTTCTTCTCTCAAATGTTTAATACTTGTAAAAGTATTCATTTGACATTGTGGGTTACTCATAATGCGAAGAGATGGCGCTGCCTTGCAGCTTAAGAATGACTAGAAGAATTTCGACGCGGTCCGTGAGGGCCGCGGTAGCATAATTGGTCAGTGCATTCGCCCGGATTGCGAGGGGTGCGGGTTCAAGTCCCGTCTGCTGCCTGGTCCGCGTGGATTTTTTCTAGTTATATTTTCTTTAGATTGAAACATCAAGCAGTTACATGTTTTAAAAATAATAAAAAATTATAACAAAAAATACACTTAAATAAAAGTACAAATTAACCGATTTTATCTTTGTTAATGAAGTATTAACCGTTGGATTTCTTTCCGAAATTCAAGAAGCCGACTACAAAAAATGTCTAAGGAAGAATGATCCCTATGCAGGTTATCGTATTGACGACACATATTTGTGATTGGGTTGCCGCACTATACATTAAAGTTAGGTTTAAATGTTTAAATAACACTTATAATATTGTCTTGACTACGCGATCACCTTACGGAGCTCCGTGGATCGGCCAATGTACCTTTTGGACAGGTTTCGGCCTCAATTTTGTTCGTGTTGTTGCATCTATTGTCCTCATCATCGTCAGCCTATTTATGTCCCCACTACAAGGGCACAGGCCTTTACTATGAATGGAATAGGGAGATTGGGTCATGACCCACCACGCGTGCCCAGTGCGGATTGGTGGGTGCTAACAAGCACAACTGTAGATGCAGCCGGGACCAAAACGGCTTAACGTGCCTTCCAAAGCACGGAGGAACTCGAGGTAGAAGAATTTTGGTCACCCATCCAATGACCGACCACTGCGAAATTTGCTTACCTTTAACGATCGCAGCCGAACGCGCGTACCACCTGAGCCATCGAGCTGCTTCTCGTCCTCCTCAACACAATAAAATATCTATATATGAAATTGCAGCTTTGGAAGAACTATGGCGACACACCGAACCAGATAAACAAAAAGTTGTCAGTGCTAGTGACAGCTGAGAGTTTGCTCACAATTCCGCGAGGGGGAGTCACTATGCAGGGCTTGAGGCACAATGTTGCCATATCGATACTGTTCGTGTACCACTGGCTGGCCGGCGTGGGACACTTCTTCTATAACGGCAATGTGGAGGATTCGGCCACCGCTGAGATATCTAGGTGTCAGGTGTGGCAGTGGATACGATTCGCGGTAAGTAAATAGATAAATAAATATTTCTAATATTCATACCTATAAGCCTAGCCGCAAAGTAAGCGCTGTATGCTTGTGTTATGGGATGCTTAGGATAAAATACATATTCTAATACATATACAAATATATTTATATAGAAGTAAATATTAAACATCCACGACTGGAGAACAAATACTCGTTTTCATAACACAAACATTTGCCCCCACCGGGATTCGAACCCGGGACCTCTAGAGTAGGCGAAAACTTGAAACCCGGCGTACAAACCACTCGGCCACGGAGGTCGTCAAACTATACAGGGTTACAAGGAAAGTCGTACTGAATATTGAAGGACGTTATTATTCAGGTCATTTTTGATGGATTTGGTCCTATAATATGGTGTCTGAAACTTAACCGTTATGGAGATATTGGATATTAAAGAATTTTTTAAAAAATCCTATATTTTTTGGGTTATTGTCGATTTTTTTGAAATTAGAGCTCCAATGGTCCGATTTTTTTAATGTATGTAGTTAGAAGACATGTCAAGCAATAAAAATAATGAATAAAAACTGAACCTACTTCTAACGGCTTAAAAAAACTGCTCGACAACGGTTATAACTAAAGAATTTTCACCAAGTGAAATTTTCACTTAACTTTGAAGCGCTTTTCTAAAAAAAATGTATGGAACTTATTCTGCAAATAATTTTAAAAACTTCTACGTCTCTTTAGCTATTCAAAAAGGTATAACACTTGCTATTAAATTGGCAAAACATTGACCAAATAACAGTTATGGTAGCAGAGGGTACATTTTTAGTTTGAGGTAAAAATAGCAAAAATACGTTCTTTAGTTATAACCGTTGTCGAGCAGTTTTTTTAAGCCGTTAGAAGTAGGTTCAGTTTTTATTCATTATTTTTATTGCTTGACATGTCTTCTAACTAGATACATTAAAAAATCGGACCTTTGGAGCTCTAATTTCAAAAAAAATCGACAATAACCCAAAAAAAAAAAGAATTTTTAAAAAAATTTTTAATATCCAATATCTCCATAACGGTTAAGTTTCGGACACCATATTATAGGACCAAATCCATCAGAAATGACCTGAATAATAACGTCCTTCAATATTCAGTACGACTTTCCCTGTAACCCTGTATATATATTTATTTATATACTAGCTGACCCAGCGAACTTCGTACCGCCCTAAAAAAATAGGGGTTGTCCAGCGGACAGAATTGTGAATCTACACCATTCTCAGATCCCCTTGAACACACACAAAAAATTTCATCAAAATCGGTCCAGTCGTTTAAGAGAAGTTCAGTGATATACACACTCACAGAAGAATTATATATATAAAGATTATACTATAATTTTGTCAAACTTTATTGAGGAGCTCGATGGCGCAGGTGGTTAGCGCGATCGGCTGCGATAGTTAAAGTTAAGCAACTTTCGCAGTGGTCGGTCATTGGATGGGTGACCAAAAATCTTCTATCTCGAGTTCTTCCGTGCTTCGGAAGGCACGTTAAGCCGTTGGTCCCCGTTGCATCTGCAGTCGTTAGCACCCGCCAATCCGCACTGGGCCCGCGTGGTGGGCCACGGTCCAATCTCCCTATTCCATCCATAGGGAAGGCCTATGCCCCAGCAGTGGGGACATTGATGGTCTGATAATATATATATATATATATATTATAATTTATATATATATAGTTTGACGCATGTTGCTTAGACTTTTTTTATGTCTATTTATGAGGATATTTTATTAATATGTATGTTTATGGCAGGCACCACTCGAAGACGATCCCATAGAGCGCGTAACAGCAAAGCTAGTAGAAAAGATATCGTCCAACTTCGCCTCTCACGCGCATTCCCAACTCTGTCGCTCGAGCGGCGAGCGCAAGCGATTAACGGCCGCACGGTATATGTGCACAGAGTTGTTTTTGGCGCGCACTCCGCCAGATTTCATTACTACTTACCTCAACGACGGCCACAAGTTCCGTACGCTGCACAATAAGGCGCTACTTAGCAATTTGTAACCTATTGATGTGATGATTATACAGGGTGTAAAAAATCTTTTAACGAAGTCGAAAGCCACGTATTTCCCACATTATGGCGGTCGTTTTTTTCTTCTGGACCATACCTGGGAAATTTATGGTCATGGAGATATTGAAGTTCAAAGTCACAATTTTTGTTTCAAGATTTATACATTAATATTTACAAAACGTTATTTAGAAACTTTTTTATAGACGCACTTGCACACACGCACATACAGACACATTCATTGCGTAGCGCCACAGTAGCGCGCAGCGCTATACATTGCGTATTGGAAAAATTTTTTTTTTAACAAAAATACAAATGATACCCACGTATATTTTTTCGTAATATTAATTGTTTGGGTGTACATAATGCGTAGTTTTAGTCTTTGTCATAGGTTTTTTTACACCCTGTATAATGAAGAAAATAATAATTGTTTAATTAAAATACGAGCGCAAGCGATTAACGGCCGTACGGTTTATGTGCAGAGTTGTTTTTGGCGCGCACTCTACTAGATTTACGACCGCTAAATTGCCAATGTTTAGCATTTTTTTGAACACAGCATATTCTTTGTTTTGTGATTTAAATTATATAAGATTACAACACACATTTTTATTGTTATTCTGTGATATATTGTTCTAGTTATCATTGACGCCAAATCTATATTTTATAGCTATACTTGAAGATATTATATTTTAATAAATACATGATTGTCTAGCAACATTGTTTTTTTGAAGTGGTATCTACTAAATGGCTGTTATATGATATCCACAATGTACTAAAAGATATTAAATGTAAGTTATGACAAAATATGTACGATCATTATGAACCCTGTCGGGCACGCAACTAAGGGTGTATTCCGAAATAAACATCAGTATACGGGCCAGTGGTAATGACGTCACGAATCCGATGGCATATTTTACTGGTATGCTACCATATTTTTACCGAGAAAACGAATATGATGTATGACCGAGCGTGCGTGAGATGCATTCGAATTTTATTTCTTTTTTTATTTAAAGAACACTAATGGCATCCGAACAAAAGAAATCCTTACTGCTTGGGGTACTCATAAGCAGTATTCATGCGGGCTATTTAAACTTTACGGCTCTATATATAGGTCATTTCGCCAAGTTAATCTATGGTTAAACTTTTTAATACAAAAGTAGGCTATAACTATCACAAAAAACGGCTTATAGTACCGTGGGTAGCGCGCCCCGATCGGGGCGTGTGGTCTTTATTGAGTTGATGAGGTGAATAAAAAATCTTCTTTATTCGCACTATTTTTAATATTTCGTCAATTTTTTCTGTGCACTGGCCATTATATTTCGGAACAATTCACCAGTATAACATCGATTCATGACGTCATTAGCACTGGCCAGTATACTGGTATATATTACGGAATACACCCTAAATGAGAGATAGTAATAAAAGAGTGATATGATGGCTAACCGTTTTCCTTCATATATAATGAAAAAGTATTGGACACGTTTTTTTTCTTTATTCACATAATCAAAATAATTAGTAGATTATTAACCAAGGGGATAAAGTAGTGTCTTCTGTCCCGGGTGACGATTTAAATCGCGAGCGTAACGAAGGACTCGAGGTTTACTCCCGAGCGTAGCGAGGGTGTTATAAACTTAAATCACGAGCGAAGCGAGGGATTTAAGACGAGTCCTGAGTGTAGCGAGGGATTTAAGTTCACCCAAGACTAAGACAGCTTTATCACCGAGGAAAATACTCTACTTTTCGTACCATTTGCGAAAAAATTAACACAATAATAATATGAGATAAGCATTTATTAAAAATAATGACAATTAAAAGTAAAAGTTAACATTCGAAACATTGGTCCAATTAAATACGGCCTCGTCGGTTTTCGTAATTTTATTTAATAATCATAACTGCACAATAAATGCGTATTTCTTTTTCAAAAAGATGTATAATGCTTTTTTTACAAACTCAATGGTGTAAACACAGATGTAGTTCAGTATAAATTTCGGTAAGTATTCCAAATTTAAATCACATTCTCCCCCTAGAGGATGAATTAAATTCAGTACAATTTTCTTTCCCTGTTTTTAACAGATCAAAAATGACTATTATTATGTTTGCTTTTTGTGGCATAGAATGTCACTTTTTTGAGCAAGTGGTACGAAACGATATATAATTTTTAAATTTCGCATGACGTCACCTCTTGGTACAATTTTTACAAAAAAATGACGTCGCTACGTCCCCCTCCCGAACTTTCACGGGCTGTATCTTTGTCATTATTTGGTCGACTGAAAAAAGAAAAAATACGTGTGCATTATTCTTTGATAAATATATCTTTGACGATAAATATAATTTCGATTAGAAAATATTACTAGAAAAAAATCCACGCAGACCAGGCAGCAGACGGGACTCGAACCAGCACCCTTCGCTATCCGAGCGAATGCACTGACCATCATACTACCGCAGCCCTGATGACCGTGTCGAATTCTTTCTAGCCTTTCTTAACCTGCAGGGCAGCGCCATCTCTTCACATTGAGTTAACCCACAGGTCTTTAGTAGTGCTAAAAATTGTGTCCGTGATGCTAGCGTACCCACGATCAATATACGGTTTTTCGTTATGCCATTAAATAGTGCGTAAATAGTGCCAAATTAGTGTAAAAATAATAAAAATAGTGCCTCTTTAATTTAAGAAATAAATACCATTTTTACTGTGTACGTTACCATGACGTCAAGCTAGCGTACCCATGGCCGACCCCAAGAACGGCATATATTTAAGCAACAAAATTGACACACAAAAATAGTTCGCAAATAGTGCCCTGGCTTTACAAAATTTCATAATCAATACTCTTATAGGACCAAAGATATTGAACTAAACATTCTTAGCTGGCGTCAACCTGACGTACCCATAATAGTTCTCATAGAAAATGAACTTTTCTCGTTATCAATTCTATATGTATAAATAGTGTGTCAAATAGTGCCTCTAACAGTAAAAGTATTTTATGTGAATCCGCATCACAACAATACATAAAGAGGGTGTTAAATTCTAGGAACAAATGTATTGTAGTACAGTTACACACAAAATTAATTTATGCACTAAGAGATTATCTATATATGTATTTTTACTAAAATAAATAGGTACTTTTTATAAAAAGATATTATATTTCAATTCGAATTCACCAATCATAAATTTATATAAGAATTTCAACCTACCTACCTACTAAGTACCTTACTTACCTACTATACTACGAAAATATTATCACTTCTGTACATGAATGTACTTCATATATTAAAATAATTTAATTCCTTTTTTATATTGTTTTACTGCGAATTAACATAAAATACTTTTACTGTAAGAGGCACTATTTGACACACTATTTATACATATAGAATTGATAACGAGAAAAGTTCATTTTCTATGAGAACTATTATGGGTACGTCAGGTTGACGCCAGCTAAGAATGTTTAGTTCAATATCTTTGGTCCTATAAGAGTATTGATTATGAAATTTTGTAAAGCCAGGGCACTATTTGCGAACTATTTTTGTGTGTCAATTTTGTTGCTTAAATATATGCCGTTCTTGGGGTCGGCCATGGGTACGCTAGCTTGACGTCATGGTAGCGTAAACAGTAAAAATGGTCTTTATTTCTTAAATTAAAGAGGCACTATTTTTTTTATTTTTACACTAATTTGGTACTATTTACGCAGTATTTAATGGCATAACGAAAAACCGTATATTGATCGTGGGTACGCTAGCATCACGGACACCTAAAAATTTGTTTAATTTTGGCATTTTCAGGGCTTTTAGTTGCTTTGATAGGCAAGTAATCGAAGAAAGGAAGACATAGGAGCATAGAATGAGTAAATTGTGCTAAAAATCAAAGAATCAGTCGAGAACCTTTGTATGAAAAAAAATTGCCCGCCTTACTTCCGCATTACTTCTCATAATGTAATCTTTTTAATTGTTCATCCGTCAATGTGTAAATAAGGTCATTTCAAATGAAACGAAAGTCAATTAAGATTCATAACATTTATAATTATCTCAAAAATATTCAATTATTCATTTACATTTTTATACACATAGTTAATAGTTCAAATACATATTGATAACATTCAAGTGAATGGCAGCGTCAAGCCGTGATTTGTATATAAAAACTTGCAGTAATTATTTCACAATCTCTTTAAATTCGAATCTTATTATAATAAACATTAAGTACTGATATATTCTTCCAGTTTTTTTCTATATTAATAGCAGCCTTATCTTGTCAATGAGAAGCAGTTATGATAAGTTCCATGCTTATTATTGCTTTTTTACACTTCAAATGTCTTTCATATCGCATTATCTTAATATAGGGAATGTAAGTAGTTCAAGAGCAAGCTGTTGTTTCAAACAGTTCACAATGTCAATATGTAATTAACGAAATCGAGGCAGCTTTAGTTTTAATGTCAATAAATACTTATTTGTGCTGTGAAACATACAGTTAGAGAAATAACAGAACAAACACATACAAATCAACAGTAATGATTATTATTATCACACTTTGGTGTCGTTCTTATTAAACGCGAATGTACGAATTAAAAGCTTATAAATGTAGCAAAATTGTTGTGATATATAATTAGATCTGTATTTATAAATAAAGTTCGGATGAACGACTTACCAAATATCGCGTATTCGGGTTCAATTAAAAACAACGCCTTCCAATTCCACAAAGACAAACTTCAATATGAATTATACATTATATAATAATTTTTCACATCTCGAAGAAATATTTTTAAAATTACATATAAACACTCCAATAGCGATAAATTGGTCGACAACCTTCATACAAGAGGACCGAGCACAAACTTTGATAAATCCGTGATCGTCTTCGTCAAAGGAGATTGCTCAGCTTCCATACATGTTTGGCCTAAAGACCAATAATCATGTAAAAAGGTTTCCTAGATTCGAAATTATATATAAATTACTGTAGAAATGAATTTTATTGACGGACACCCCTGAGAACTTCTATAAACCATATACACTGAATGATTTTGAGGTTATGTTTGCAAATAGGTAACTAAATAGGTATTAAAATAATAAAAAACAAATAAGATATATAGTAAACTAGGTAAATCAAGCCAAGTACCGAAATTATGTATAAGATTCAGGTATATGGAGCATATAGATTAACAGATAGTTGCCTGTTTTTAAATTTAATGCACAAGAGTAACTTTTAAAATCAGGTATCAATCATCTATGCATTTCCGGTTATAATAAGGTACTTTGTGACAGAAACTGTGTGATGATTGCAGATAATTTTTAAACTCTCATTAACCAAAGAAAACTAAGAGATTTAGGTTATACAGCCATATCTTCAGTAGCTTCATTATTTTTGTTATGTTTATACTATAACCGTATGTTAGATTTTTAGTGTATCACACCTTATAATGTGTTTATGGAGGTGTTTGGCGAAAAATGTATGGCAATAGACTATGATATCGCTTATCATTTATATTAGTCTTAGCACATTTGCATATAGTGAAAATGATAATATAGTTGTGGATATTAATACCACAGTGTAATAAAAAATTATAAACAATTTCGATCAGTCTTTGGCTGAATGTTACTACACCCATAGCCATTAAAAATTAGTCGTATGTTTTCCAAACCGGTAAAATTAAAAGTACTTTTATAAAATGAATACATTATACAAAGGTGTCCGTTAAAATCTAATGACTGTAAAATAAAGTATAAATTACGCCAAGAATTACCGTGTATGTCAATATTTTTTGTACATTTGGGCCAATTTGAGCAATCTAGTTTGGTATGGATGGAGCCAGTTTCCTCTTACGTCCGGTAGGGGCGCTGTTAAGTTTTCATAGAAAGTTTGACGATGCGTTATGATTACGGAGGTGTCAAAATTCGTGTTTGGGCCTCGGGTGAACAAAAGCAAAATATGTGAACACATTTTGAGTACGAGTATATTTAAAAATGTAATACGTAATAAAGACCAACGATCAGCGTAGCTTTGACAGCCGACAGCAAATAAAGTTACTACAGAGTGTAAATTTTCTCAATGTAATCTTCAACTCTTATGTAAATTACGTTTAGGATAATTTCACAAACATTCAATAAAACATTGTACAATACTTAAATAAGGTACACTATAAATTAACTAATTCTAACTACAAATCAAATCAATAAATCTGAAATTGGATCTTATACGATTGATAAAAACTTAACATTATAATTGACGAGCTGACGAACAAAACGGTATCTTTTAAATAAAATTCTCGTGTCATAATGTTAGTTACCATACTCCTCCGAAACGGCCTGGCCAATTTTATGAATTTTTATATGCATATTCCGTGGGTCTGAGAATCGGCTACTATCTATTTTTCATATACTGAAGTGATAATGGTTGTCCACCTGTAAAGTAGTGTTCTGAAACCTACAATGCGCCTTCTTCGCGCCAAAATTCAAACTATTGGGTATTGTAACGTAGTGTTCTCATATGGGTTAGGAGGAATGTTATCCCAGGTAATTGATAGAACACTACGTTACACACCCCTAAAATTTCATTTGGACAATATATATTTTTTTTTATAATGTGGTATTTAAAAATACGTACAGTTCTAAATTTTCTCTTCTACCACCTACCCCTATTTTTATGGCGGTATGAAGTTCGCTGGGTCAGCTAGTAATTACATAAAATTAATTTTCAGGAGTAGTAAAAAACTAAATGACACACCTACAGTGAGCTGTTGGGTGGATGGTTTTTAATTAATTTTAACACAATTTAAGGCGGTTTTGATTGAAAATAAATTAAGATTCAAATTCAGAAAGCCTAAAACCTCCGGACTGTAAAAAAAAAGTATTTTGACCAGATGTGTAATCATAACGTTTTGTTCGCCAGCTCCTCAATTGATTAATTATTATTCAATGATATTTTGTACTAGCTGTAGACAAATTTTGGGCATCACAATCAAAGTTTTCATAAACAAAGCACAAGTTGAAGTGAGCTTTTATACGTTGAACATAAGGTGCAAAATTGCCTACGCACAATATAAGCTTGGAATAGTAGACAATGTTTTGTTACTGTTCATCACACTAATCACACTAATAATATAAAGGCGAAAGTTTGTGAGTGTGTATGTTTGTTACTTCCTTACGTCTAAACCGCTGGACGGATTTGGATGAAATTTGTCACACATATAGTTTATTAAGTGGATTAAGACATAGGATACTTTTTATCCCGATTTGTTTTGGTTCCTGAGGGATTTTCAAAAACTTAAGTTAACGAGGACGCTGTCGCGGGCGGCCGCTAGTCGAATAATAAATGTCACTTACGTGATGTGAACAAAACATTGGTATCGATTCTGGCATGATTGTCTAAATCTAAAATTAAATTTGACAACAATGTATCCTTGTCATTGTCTATACAGAATGGAAAGGAGAGACTGATGCTAAATAATCATGCCAGTGTCTTAACTAATTCAATATGGTGATTTGAGTTTTAACAGAAAAACATTACTAAGCAAGTGGGCCTGAAGTTAAAAACAAAATGATGTTGAATGAATTCAAATAGTCGACAAGGATGAAGATAAAACTGGAATAAGCTTATATTTCAATTAATAAAGTCGATGTAAGTGGCCCTATCAGCCGCACTCTAAGAATCGATTAACGTTTAAGTTTGAGTAAATTTTTAAGCATTTAACTGCTAAATGTTTAAATGTAAAGAATAATTTACTAGTATTATTTTGCGGTCACAACCCACAATGTCAAATGAATACCTTTACAAGTATTAAACATTTAAAAGAAGATTAATTTTTTTCGGCACTTAACTGCTAGATGTTTAAATCTATTTTTTTCCTTTTGTTGACTTAAGTTGATGCGGTCACTTACTTTGCTTGCGATAGCAATAAATAAATATTTCCAACACTCACACCAATTAGCCTAGCCCCAAAGTAAGCACTGTAAGGCTTGTGTTATGGGATACTAGGGTAACGGATAGAATACATATACAGTACATAATTATACTAATAAGAATTTCTATATATTTATATAGAAATACATATTAAACATCCATGACTGGAGTACAAATGCTCGTATTCATCACACAAACATCTGCCTCCACCGGGATTCGAAGCCGGGACCTCTCGAGTTGGCGACTCCATGAAACCCGGCGTGCAAACCACTCGACCACGGACGTCGGCAATACAGACAACATATGTATTAAATTAATTTTATGATTCAGAGTGCTGCTGTGAGCGTTTTTTATGGGTTTTTTAATTACATACTTATTTCAGAGGCATTTGAAAACCTTCGGCGGTCAGAAATAACAAAATGAATACGTAAGCGATAGCCATATCAATCCCGTTGACGATTGGCCCCCTGGCGGTATATTCCGCTTTATTCCGACATGATTTTTCAAACCTAAAACTAAACTTGACAAGGATAAAAACGGGTCGCTGAGCTCCAGATCCGCGAATACACATTAAATGAAAATAAACTTCATTCAAGTTGATTTATTAAAAGATTTTATTCCTGCCTACCTGTTCAGGGTATGTTTAAGCAGACAAGAAGAACAGGCGAATGAAACTTCTCAGCTTTTTATGAGCGACATTTCCATATAAATATTATGTCGTTTGTTACCAATTCAAATAATTTACACTCTTTCAAATCAAATCTGCTAGCTAGCATTCTTCATCCTTTTCATTCCATATAGAGCATAAGGATAAACCTTATTATTCATCCCTTTAGATCATAACAAGGATAAACCTTGTTCTTTGCTCTTTAAGGAATGTCAAATTTACAAAGTTACACTGCTAAAGTTTTTTATGATATGGTATCAGCCCTTGTGATCTTTAAACAGTTAATGCTTTGCGTCAATTTTTTTACCAGCTTATTCATTTATTATAACTGTACTTAGAGTTTAATTATTGGGTAATGTTATGACAGTAACTGTAGTATCACATAACTCACTACAAATGAAGTTTGAAATATTTAGTTTGTGCAATGTTAATGTGCCAATTTCAATATCAATTTTACTTATAAATTCATAAGGATGCAATGAAAGTTGAGAACGCAAAAGATTCGTTGAAGGTCTTCCAAGAAAATAACGGATAATATGCATCTTACTAATTCTTTTTCATATATTGTGGTGATTTCAGAATCGTCGCATTATCAACAGTTGTTTAGTTTTAAGTTGAAATAATCATGCCTAGGTAGCCGACCGCACATCGCGATTGCTTTGGCTATTGCTATAGCTTATGAGGTCATTTTGTCATTTCTGACCGCCCAAGGCTCCCAAAAACTTCATGCTCATTTTATTTTATATTGTTACTAGCTGTGCCCCGTGGTGTTACCCGCGGTTTATTAGGGATGTTTTCCCGCAGTAAAACGTAGCCTACGTGTTAGTCCAGGTTGTCAGCTAACTCCATACCAAAATAGCTCCAGCCGTTTAGACGTGAAGAAGCAACAAACATACACACTCACAAACTTTCGCCTTTATAATATTAGTGTGATTACCAATGCCAAAAGTGCGCAAGGTATATGAAAACCTTCGGCGGTCAAAATTAACAAAATGAAATCATAAGCTATAGCAGTAGCCAGCGTAATCCTGATAGGCTGTAGGCCTCCAAGTCTAAGGCCCGTATTATAGAATAACAACTAAGTGTTGATCTTTACTTGAGTACAGTTAGAAAGGGATGTCGCTATGTGCTACAGACTAGATCAATCACTGAGAATCTGTCTATAATACGGGCCTAAAACCATGATAATTCGTTGTACAATTTTCGCACTAGATTTTAGAGTTGCAATCGCGTCGCGTTTGCTTCGCTATGAGAGAGTACACCGCGAGTTTTGTTCGCCGCCGACGCGTTGCCGCGCGAGCGCACGCGCCAACGCATTGTCGCGCGCGTGCGCGTTGCTACTCGCGTTCTGTTCCTGCAATGAAAGCGATAGCGCATGCGCCAACGCTTCGTCTTCCGTCTGGTGTGGAATTAAATTGAACAACTTTATTTAACCATGATTAAAAGTAAGAAACTAAAAACAAAACGAGCGAGCCTTACAATAGTCGCGTATGATGTGTAACATTTGAAACCTCACCTTATATTAGTAAAACAAGAAATAAAACCTACTACAAAAGGAATAAGCCATCTGAACATTATGTTCTAAAATCAAATAGCGCGCGCTTCCCAAACTTCCTGTTACACACTTCCGCCCCACTTCACGTAATCACTCCCACAAATTGCACGAAAGCGAGAGGAAAGATGTTACACATCAAAAAAAGAGTTTGCTTATGACCACACGACTGAAGTGAAACTTCTTTAGCTCCATCTGTATGTATATATGTGTGTACAATGTATACATGTATGTACATAAACATATTTCATTTACTAGCTATTAGAGAAAGAGAGAAAGAAAAGGTGCGCGCGCACTTTCTCTTGCTTATATCCCCCATTCAACTCCCGTTCGCCTCGCCCGAACACACTTTTCGTAACGCGTAACGCATTCGCAAGCTTACCCCCCATGTCAAGCGTGCGAAAAGAAGTTTCACTACAAAAAGTAGGTGAAAAAGAGCAGGTAAAGAAAAAACAAAGAATAATACACTTCTGGGTACATCTATCTTCCAAATTAGTGTTATAAGTGTCAACGGCCTGTACCAAAAATATATGGTAGGTTGAGCAAAGCAGAATCACACGAATAAGATGGTTAATACATCTGTTTCAAAACTGCATTATGACTTTTTGCTCAATGTAACATTTATTTTTGGCTAGATACCGTCAAAGTTTTAAGTACCAAGTGGGCCGATAAATGTTTCCGGGAGTAACTTTATAAATGCTTACAGGGCTGCATTCCAAACCTACGCTACTACGCCGAGAGCAAAAATGTTGACATAAGACGTGTTTTTATAAGGTTCTCCTTTTTCAGGTAAGGCAAAGGGAACAATGCCCATACAGCCTACTAGTCTTCAGTGTAGTGGGTCTGACAAATTTTAATGTTTCTTAGAGTGTTTCGCACGAAACGTATCGAGTCAGCTTTCTGGATAAGATTCTGTGAGGTAATCAACATTACAATAAAGTTCTCACGTCCAATTGACCGGAACAGCGTATATTTTAAAGATTCCACTAATTCTTCAGTTGCGTAGACGGTTGAACACACAATCACACCAATTTTATTTCACAATATCCACTATGAACGAATTAAAGAATAATTAAAATAAGACGCTAAACGCACTCGATGAATTACCTCCAAAAAGTCTTTTTCTTCTTTTATTTATAAAAGTAGTGGAGCGTAGGTTTCAAACGCAGCGCAGTGCCGCCAACGGAAGAATGTCATCCTGACAGGTAGTGGCAGTGCCTTACGGCGACAGTATAAAGTACACTTTAGATCTAGTAAAATACTCTTTCGATTCGAAATAATAAGTAGGACTCTAATTCTGTCTCCGTAAGGAAGTGACACAACTTGTCAGGATACTTCCATTTACAAATTAAATAACACAAACACAGGGAATTGATCAATTGAAGTACACACTATTAATTATTATTTTTATAGTTAAAATAATGTACTCACCATATTTCCTTGTACCGCACTAAACGTTGAAACTGTCACAGGAGGTGACATTTTATTTTCTGCCGCTTTCAATCTAGCCATAGCCGCATTACTGTAAGAAAAATGTACATATTTATAAATACAGATGCCGTACTGGTATCAAAAGTATTCATCATCATCATCATCAGCCTATTAATGTCTCCACTGCTGGGGCATAGACCTTCCCTATGGATGGTGCGGATTGGCGGGTGCTAACGACTGCAGATGCAGCCTGGACCAACGGCTTAACGTGCCGAACTGCCTCCGAAGCAATGAGGGATAGAAGATTTTTGGTCACCCATCCAATGACCGACCACTGTGCCGAATGCGCACACCCGCGCCATCGAGCTCCTTGTCAGCATCAAATCTATTGATCCTGATCAATTCATTCATGAAATAAGTATGTAGGAGAGATTAGTTTAATGGTTTCTACTCATCAATCATATGTGATTATTCGCCAACCCAACCCTCACAAACACTCTTGAAGTTCAACAAATGTGGATATGAGTAAGTGAAAGTAGTAAATGCTTTGCAATTTTATATATTTACAGATATGTGTTTTAGAATTAGTATTGTAATGTAATTAACAACAATTTACTAAAATACATTTCTATTCATAGTCTTTTTTCCTGTCACAAGCAAGAGCAGGTCACTTTACTTTATTACACTTCCTCTAGACAAAAAGTAAACAAATAATACAACATTCTAAAGTTTTTTTATGGAGCGTAAAGATGTCAGTTGTAACCAGAGGGATTACAAAATTTCAAATTCTAAATGTAAATTATTTGCTTTATCTCTACTCTTCAATTTAGTAGTATTAAAATACATTCTAAGATTGGGAATAGCTACAGTTTCAGGTGTTTTTAAAGTCACTTTAATAAATTACGATTTATGTGGATATCAATTTCGACCAATTGAAAATTCTGTTTATGGTTTCTTTGCCTTTTGTCACACTAATATTATAAAGGCGAAAGTTTGTGAATGTGGTTTTAATAAATTTTGGTATGGAGTTAGCTGACATCCTGGATTAAAACATAGGCTACGTTTTACTGCGGTAAAATATTCTTATCTAGTGGCCCGCCCCCGCTTCGCTTCGGTGTAGGGTAGACTATAGTTTTTGTTCTCAGGCTTGTATTATACATAATGAATTTCTTTATATAATTATTTTTCTCACCTTTTAATCCTCTAGACCTCCACGAACATTTCAAGACCAAGATAAGATAAATCCGTTCAGCCTGTGGCAGCGACATCTATATGCCCCACATATAACCAACATAGAGAAATTAATCACTCGCCTCTTTAAGAGATGGCGCTACCGGCGTTGCACTCAAATAGTATGGTAGCCTACATCGCACATATGAAATTCGGCGGCTAACAGTTCATATATACAATACCCGACCAATATCAGTCGGGGCCGCGGCCCCCGAGCTACTATCACCCAGCTCGGAGGAAGATCTTCGCCTTTGGCCTTCCCACAGTGGGTAGCGCCATCTCTTAAAGAGGCGAGTGATTAATTCCTCTATGTTGGTTATATGTGGGGCATATAGGTGACGCCACCACAAGCCGTTTCCGAGTTTTAGCGAGACTAACGAACAGCAATTGATTTTTATATATATTTTTAATCAGTCGAGGGTAACACCACGGGGCACAGCTAGTCAAAAGTAAAGCATCAAAATGAACTCACGCAGCTTGTCGTCTCTTGGCAGCCAGTTTCCCCTCGCACGCGTGGTCCGTCGCATGCCGGTGTCGCAGGCAATAGTTGAGTGCGCACTCGCTACAAATGAGCGGCACCATCTCTTTCGTCTTGCAGCCTTTGTAAGAACACCGGTTCGTGAACACCTGTAACAAATAAACTAATAAATATTTCTAACTCACACCATTTAGCCTAGTCCCAAAGTAAGCACTGTAGGCTTGTGTTATGGAATACTAAGGTTAATGTTTATATGCATTTACACATAAAAATATACTTTTATGTGTATTAAATTCGTAATCTTATACTTAGTGCGTTTGTTTAAGTATAAGGTTACTTATATGTGTATTGTAGACGTGGTCCTTTACTGCGGGTCTCATAAGAAGGCTCAAGGTCACACAGCGAGCAATGGAGAGAACGATGCTCGGTGTTTCCCTACGCGACGGAATCAGAAATGAGGAAATCCGTAGGGGAACCAAAGTAACCGATATGGCTCAAACGATTGCTCTGCTGAAGTGGCAGTGGGCAGGAAACGTAGCAAAAAGGACCGATGGCCGTTGGGGCGGAAAGGTTCTGACGACGCTCAGTGGGCAGGCCCCCTACAAGGTGGACTGACGATCTTGTGAAGGTCGCGGGAAGCCGATGAACGCGAGGGGCGCAGGACCGATCGGTGTGGAGATCCTTGTGGGAGGCCTATGCTCAGCAGTGGGCGTCGTGCGGCTGACATGATGAGGATGATAAAAAATTCAAAAAAAAAAATCAATATCGTTTATTCAGTCTAGGCTGTTACAAGCACTTGTGATATGTTATAGAATACATAACATATACAATACATATCTTTATATATATAATTCTTCTGTGAGTGTGTATGTCACTGAACTTCTCTTAAACGACTGGACCGATTTTGATGAAATTTTTTGTGTGTGTTCAAGGGGATCTGAGAATGGTTTTGATTCACAATTTTGTCCGCTGGACAACCCCTATTTTTTAGGGCGGTACAAAGTTCGCTGGGTCAGCTAGTATAAGTATATTTTTAATGTAGAAATACATATGAACATCCATGATTAGGTACAAATACAGAAATAGTGACAACTTGAACAATCAATGACTTATTTTTGGTTTTTAGGTGCATTTATAATAGTGTGTTTTTGTAGTTTTTTAAGCTATTAATTTATTTTATACTTTCCGATGTTCCATCATGAAGTTCCAGTTCATATGTTCCGACTCCATCATCAGATCAGCTCGACAGTATCACATAATTGTATTGTCATCAGAACTACGTACAGCTGCCAATTTTCATTACGCTACAATCCTTGAAAGATGGTTAAATTAGTTACCTTAGATTCCATTACATAGTTAGTTACATACCGGTCGACCTTATAGAAGCGTGTTAAAAAAACAGATTAGGAGCACAAACTCGATATGTTTCCTTGTAGGCAGTCCAGGGTCCATCAGCCACCTTCCAGTCCCATCATCAAACCAGCTCGATGGTACCATAATATTGTATTGTCATCTAATCTACATACAATTGACAAGATGATACAGGAATTAGAAGTGCGTGCAATTCAGATTCTTAGATTTTATTACACAGTTAGTTACATACAAGTGGACCTAATAAAAGCGTGTTAAAAAAGGACGGGATTCGAAACTTGTGCCCATACCCTCGAACTCGCACTATGGAGTTGTGAGATATAACATGGATAATACTTGGATATAGCTAAACCCCTAATAACATCATGTGTGTAGTGTTTGTTTTTAAACAGGGCGTGACACTGACACTTAAATAACTGACACACGTAGGACAGCTGTTTTGTCTATGATAGCGAACCGCTGACGTCGGCGTAGCTGTCAAACTTCATTGATTGGGTTGGTAGCATTGAGGGAATAGTTGTTTTCTTTTATTCGACTAAAATATTCGACTTGACACTTATAAACAAAAAAAAAAAGAAAAAAAAAGTAATAAGGCAGTGAATCTCTGTTGGTGCGTGTGGATGAATGGATGGAGTTTGACAGTTGTTGAATTTTGAATAATTTTTCCCATATCGATTTGTGTTCTCCATCAGGCGTTGTTTTTAATCGATTTTGAATTTTACTCGAAATTGAACTTCCTCGCTGTTTTAGGTGGGTACTCTCTTTTCCTCCGCTTACGGCGAGCATAGTTATATAGTTTTGAGTTGATTCGTTGTTTCATCTCGAATGCGGCGGCTGTCTGTTTGACTGTGGCCTTTGCCTTCAGTTGGAGAGAGAAACAAATCATAGACACATATTTGGGAGTGGGCGGTCTATCATCTATGCTCAGTTGTCAAAACAACATTTAAAAATTTCACATTCTGTTTTCAGAAAAGTAATTCGAATTTTGTCTTCTGCCCAAAGTATCTTATAAGGAGGACCATTACCGCGACGTCGGAGTCGTGAAATAGATCCGAAAAGTTTATATCCTGAAGGATATTGGCGGAAATAGCGCGGAGACGCTGGCCGAACTGTAATTCGGGTTGATAAAGTTTCACAGGTATCTTGGGTAACTCCTTATTACTCCTACTTAAGTTGTGGCTATGAAAAATAACCTTTCTGTTTGATCTTCTGTGTCGTAGGTGGACGGTTATAGAATCTCGCAAGGCGGGGCAGAACTTGTGATGGGAAACAGATACTTACGGATAGTTTTATATTTCGAACGGTAAGCTATCATCTGACCTCATATCTATTCTCCTAGCACTAATTGAACTGCATTATGCATGATATGGTGATTATTGTCATCAAACATACCTAATCATTCTTGTCAAGTTAGTGAACATGAAATTGATTTCCTTCAACCCGGTGGGATGGGCCCCAGTCATGTAGTGATTCAAAAGATGTAAACATTAACCGTGAATATCCCTCACCCTACCCGCTAGTGATACAGATGTAGATGATCTATGTATTTTCCCCATGTCTGATCATTTTTTTTCAATGTGAACTTCAGGCTTGTACGCTCTCCTCAAGAAATACTGGAGGAATAACAAGGAGATTCCCTCTCTGTACACGGACCAGAGGGGACTCGTGAGATCATTCCAATAAAGGTTGCAAGCCGCTCTAGGGTTTCATGTAACTGCGGACAGATCATACACTGCAGAACCTATCCTAAACAAGGTATTTATGATAACTAACACCGGGCGAGCGTGGAGCGGGTACCACCAGGCGAGGTTGGACCCCGACCTACCCCTTTCTATATATATATATATATATATCTCTATAACTGGTTGACTTATTGAGAACCATAACTAACTAAGTTTATCACCAATATCGATCAAACGAGCCATAGAACCTCTGAAATCCACTAAATAGCTTATTAAGTCTAGTCTTTGTGGTCTCTCAATGGACAGTCCATTGCAGAGTGGATAAAATACATTAGATATAGTTTAAGAACTTATGTAAGTACATGGTAGATTGTTATGAATGTCTGATGTCTATATAATTCTAAGATTCATGCTAACTTGTGATTTATAAAAACTCTCACTTTAAAACTACTATATTCAGCTCAGTTAGGAGAGTGAAAGTTGGTAGAATATAGTATAACATTTCTTGCCCACTGGGGAAATTTGTATAAACTCTAACATTAAAATTACTGTATTCAGCCTCGTTGTGACATGTTGGGTTAGTGAAATATAGTTATAAGGTTTCATGTCAACTTGGCAATTTATATAAACTAGAACTTAGAACTACTGTATTGATTAGAATCCATAGTTGGTGAAATATAATTATAGCATTATTTGAATTTTTTTGGTTTTCTTTCATTGCTTCCCCTGCTCTCTGAGGTAGAGTAAAAGAGGGCAGTGGAGGAGAAATTAACATCACATGTGACATTAAATTCAAATGTTTATTTGCTAATTAAGGTCCACCTGCAGCGATTATGCTTAAACCCAATTTAGCCCCTACAATAATGTGAAATTGACATTGACGCTTTGACATTTTCCAAAGCGGTGAATCTAGTTTTGATTGAATGGAGATTAGCAAATTTGCTGCAAGTTGGCCTAAGTCTCGATAGTTAAAGGGAATGTACCTTGTTCCTCCTCTCAGTTGCCGGGTCGGAGGTGCATTGGTTGTCGATGTGCGCGCCCACCGCTACGTCGGGGGGCTCCCCGCGCCGCCCCGGCACCGGAGCCCCGCACAGGGGGCACGATGCCACCTGCACGTCGCGCGATTGAGGCGCCGGGCACTCGTGCTGCACGTACGCGAAGTGATCCGCACTGAAAGGATTTATAATTAGATCAACAATCTTTATGTGTGGATTTCACGTAAATTAGGTAAAAAGGGACAACAAATTATGGTTCACATAGAGTTTGTCAGCAAATGACATTACTATTAAGATTGTTGATAAAATTTAAAGACTGACAATCCATCAGTACTGTAATATTGGGTGTGTTATGATATCACATTTATACAAAGTTTATATGTATAAAAAAATAAAATATTAATATTTCCAACACTCACACCAATTAGCCTAGCCCCAAAGTAAGCATTGTAAGGCTTGTGTTATGGGATGCTAGGGTAATGGATAGAATACATATACTGATACATATACAGGGTGGCCGGGCAGTTGTCGTTCAAGTGTAAAATTTAGATACTTTATGATGAGGAGTATCCAAATCACCCCCATGTATGTTCTACGGATTTTGCGTAGTTTTCGAGTTATAATTTTTTTAATGATTTTTTTCGTAATTTTCACCTAATAAGTTTTCGATTTTTTTATCATTTTGTTAGACGTTTCTGGTTCAGTTTTTTTGTAATAACTGACTAACATGTCTAACCTAGCACCCTAAAACTTATGGTTTATCTAAGCATTGCAGAATTTACTTAGAATTTGTTCAAAAGTTTAAAATTACGATTTGAGCTCAGTACACACAAATTTTCAAAGTATCAAAAAAAATGTAAATGATTTTGAGTTCAAAGTGCTTTTAGAAACTTCCTGAAACATAAAACTTTAAAACAAGGCCAAATAAAGATAGGGTTAATCAGGGTTTATTTTCTGTAACTAACCTTCAAAGTAAATTAAGGCATTTTTCAAGGAAAAAAGTAATTATTTTCTTAAATTAAAATCTTTGTCTATCTCTCAGTTATGATGGATTTGAGCAAAACACAGTTGTTAATGACCTAAATTCTACTACTACTTACTTACTTACTTACTTGTGTTTACTTACTCGTCTTGTTCTGCCGTTTTTTCTCGCTCGCACTCACCACTATTTGCCTACTGATACCGCCGCTGCTTACTTGTTTGACCCCTGCTTGTTACTGGATTCCGTAGTGCCTAAGGGTGCGGCCAGAGTGCACTCAGATTCAGAGTCAGATTCAGATTCTGAAAACAAGCGCGAGAAATAAACAGTGTAGTCTAAGCAGGTTGCCTGCTTTTTCTCGCGCTTTCTTTTCTGAGTCTGAATCTGAATCTGAATCAGGAGTGCAATCTGGCCGTACCCTTCGACTACACTGTTTATTTCTCGCGCTTGTTTTCAGAATCTGAATCTGACTCTGAATCTGAGTGCACTCTGGCCGCACCCTTCCGATTTCGACTGTAGTTACTTGCAAGTGTTAGTGATGCCCTACACTCTGTGTGAATATGCAGAAATGCATTATTTCTACGGCGTTGCACAAGGCAACGGTCGTGAAGCAGCAAGACTCTACAGGGATCAACTTCAACGCCGAGGCGGAGCGCAACTTGATCATTACCCTGACTATCGTGTGTTCATTAATACTCACAATACGTTAATGGCAGGCCGCATTCCTGGCCAACGCACGGTGGAATATGGTAGAACAAACGCATATCAAAATTGATTTTTATTACTGATTGAAAGTGGGTAATATATGAATATAATTTAATAGTTCAAAAGTCGAAGTTTAATATTCTGCAGCGTAATTCATATTTTATTTCGTAAAAGTATTTTTTTTCATGTAGCAAAGTTAAACGTTTAGGCAGCTGGGAAATATTAAGTTCTTCATTTACGTTTTTCAACGTGAAATAGTTTTAAAACTTGAAATGAAAGGTATAAGGTATCATATATTTTTGAAAATCACATTTATCAGAGGTTAGAAATAAATACAATTGATTGTTTTTAATACGAGTATAAATTTAAAAACCAATTTAAAGAAAAAATGGAGAAATATTTTTTTTTCCTCAACTTCGTCGAATCTTTTAACATTTAGAGTTTTTTATCGATGCTTTGAATTTAATATTAAATTATAGGTTAGTTACTCATCTAAAACATATAAAAAAATTAGCTGCGGCTTTTTGCGGTTTTCGGAGATATGTGAAAAAATCGAATACTAGTCTGGGAACGGAAATCGCTATCAAATGCGGTTTCGTAGGTTACTTTTATTATCAATAGTTTGTGGTACATTTTATGAATTAATTATTTGATATTGTTATGTAGGTTTTATCATTTCGATGTCATTTTCCGTGAGAAAATAGATATCTGAAATAATTCCCACATTCTGAAACAATATAAAAAGGGCAGTGAAAAAATATGCCTCCATTACCGTTTCAGTGGTCTTTACGCCTATGTACTCTAGTAGGTACGGTTATTTCATTATTCAACATGTCTACTTTTAACTGTACTAAACGTGAGTTAATAGTGTCTTATATAGAAGGCGGAAAAACGACTGCTGCACTTTCAACATATTTGGAGGGAAAACAAATTTCGGATGTCAATATATGTTTTACTATTGACCATATTCAAAGGGATGTCATCCCTTCGTTTAATAAACGCTGGAGTGAAGCAGGACGCAATAAAAATACCTTTTTAAGAAAGAACACCAATTGGTTGGATTCTGAATATTCGTTAACTATACCAACATCAGAAAACGTGTCAACAGACTCTACACCATCTACTTCTTCTGGTAATCGAGGAAGACCGTGTGTCTCATATGGAGACTCTTCAGAATCAAGCAAAAAAAGAAAAAACACCATTTTGCTAAATGAATATGGTTTGGAGCACATTCTAAGCGCATATCTTCAAGGATTGCGTTCTATAGGAGAAGGAATTGAAGCAAAAGTTGTTGAAAAATTAAGGTTGGCTGATGCAGAGAAAAAGGTTTTCGTTATAAATCAATTAGATGATGCAAAAATAATTAAAGCGCTTACAGATGAAGAAGCATTAAGTGTCTTCATCGACTTGGAACTAACAAAGGCACAATATCTGTATCTCAGGAACGTTACAGATGAAAGAAACTGTTCTTTATTTCCACCATACTATAAAATACAGGAAATGAAACAGAGGTGCTATCCACCATCATCAACAATCGAAATCACAAATACTTATGCAAAAATATTGAGAGTTCAAGATCTATTGGATCACACTGCAGCTCGAATTTTATCATTAGATAAGGTTTACAAGAATGGACAAAAACATTTACTATTGTATAGCAAATGGGGTTGTGATGGGTCATCTGGACAAAGCCAGTACAAGCAAGCACTACCAGAGGAGTCTGAACTTATTTCCGATGCAAATTTATTTATTACTTCTTTTGTGCCTATCAGATTAACTGACGTGGAATCAGGCGCCATCACATGGCAAAATCCAGTGCCTTCATCTGTTCGTTTCTGTCGGCCTATATCTATAGAATTTTGCAAAGAAACGCCAGAAAAAACTAAATCGGTTGTAGATGAAATATAAAATCAAATAAACTTTGCTTCCATCAATAATTAATATAGAAGGCGTGGGAGTCCAAGTCAAGCATGAACTTTTTTTGACGATGATAGATAGATCATAGACAAATGAATGATTTAACGAAAGTAATAGCTAGGCCTGAAAATGAAAATGCTTATCAATACGGATTATCCACATTACATGCCTGGATTCTTTGCATGGAAATGATATTACACATATCATATAATCTATCTTTCCAAACGTGGTCTGCTACAAGCAAAGAAAAAAAAAGACAAACAAGAAAAAAAGGCTGAAGTACAAAAGCGACTTCGTGAAGAGTTGGGTCTAAATATCGATAAACCACGACAGGGGACGGGAAATAGTAATGATGGCAATACTGCTAGGAGATTTTTTTACAATGCTGCCTGTTCTGCTGATATCACAGGGATTGACATTGGTTTAATTAAACGGTTATATATAATTTTGAGGGCTTTGTCATCTGGTATAGTGGTAGATAGTAAGAAATTTGGTAATTACGTTCTGGAAACTGCAAGAATATACGTGAGTAAATATAGTTGGTATTACATGCCATCATCTGTCCACAAAATTTTAATTCACGGAGAGAGTATCATAAACCATTTCGCGGTATTACCAATTGGGCAACTTTCAGAAGATGCTCAAGAATCTCGCAATAAGGACTATAAAAAATTTCGCTTACACCATGCTCGGAAATGCTCTTGAATAGCTACAAACGAAGATGTGTTTAATACACTACTTTACACTTCAGATCCATATATAACGAGCATAAGAAAACCATATGCAAAAAATGTAAAGGAGCTCGATGAAGATACTTTATACCTTCTCAAGGTTAATGAACTTATTTCAGATCCTGAAGCTCACCGGGTGTAAGATGTCAATCTTGCTGAGCAAAAGAAAAGCAATATATATATTGCGATAATTTTGATTTGTTTCTGTATGTTAGCGTAGTGTTAAAAATATTTTACCATTTTTAATTTTATATTATCAATATAATATGATAGTTATCTTAATAGAGTAATTAGCATTAAGAAATAGACGTACAATATGTTTCTAAAAAATATTTCAATAAATAAATAATACTAATAATACTATTTTAAATCATTTTGTGACTTTTCTTTTTTAATTAAAAGAAATACGCATAATTCCAATTCATCAAACATTACTTATATGAATCCTTATGTATCACTTTATATTATAGCAAAATTTTATAAGTCTATCTTTCAAATTGACGGAGTTACAGATTTTTAATCCGAAACACACCGAAATATTCCACAGTGCAACATGGCGGTGAAGGCATTCAGAGGGTTGATCAGGAACGCAGGGAAATCGTACTGGAAGAAGTGCAACGCAATAGTAGTACAAGTACGAGAGCATTAGCTCGTAACCTTGACATACCAAGATCTTCAATACAGGATATATTGCGTGAGGAATCATTTCACGCCTACCACATACAAAAAGTACAAGCGTTGCAGCCTTCAGATTATCAATTGAGAGTCGATTTCTGTAGAACTATGTTGCAGTAAGAGGAAGAAGATCCCAGGTTCCTTTAATAAAATCTTGTGGACCGACGAGTCAAGATTTGAGCGAACTGGGGTTTTCAATATCCACAATTTTCACATTTGGGCCGTTGAAAATCTACATGCCGCCAGACCATCGTCATTATAACATCGTTTTAGCGTTGACATGTGGTCTGGTGAATGGCGAATTAATAGGCGCATTTGAACTGCCATCGGGATTAGACGGCGACACATACAAAAGTTTTTTAGAAGACAATCTACCCATAGTACTGGAAGATGTAAATCTTGAATTAAGAAGAACGATGGTGTTCCAGAACGACGGGGCGCCATGTCACTACGCGACACAAGTGCGTAGCCATTTAGACCAGACCTACCCCAACAGGTGGATCGGACGATGAGGGCCAATTGCCTGGCCACCATGCTCGCCTGACCTCAACCCTATTTTTTTTTATCTGGGGCTACTTTAAAGAAATTGCGTACGCCAGAGAAGCTTCGAGTGAAGAAGAACTGAGAGCAAAAATTCGTGAAGTGGTTTCACCACTGTGAAAAATAACCGTAAAGCTTTTAGGAACCTAAAACATATTTTTTTGCGCAGATGTAGATTGTGTATTTCTGTGGGAGGGCAAAATTTTGAAAATTTGCTTTAAATAAACGTATTTTGTTCACAATTAACTGCGTTTTACTCAAATCTATCATAACTCATAGAAAGTCAAATATTTAAATATAATAATTCCTTTGAAAATGCCTTAATTTACTTTGAAGGTCAGTTACAGAAAATAAACCCTCATTAACCCTTTCTTTATTTGGCCTTGTTTGAAAGTTCAATGTCTCAGGAAGTTTCTAAAAGCACTTTGAACTCCAAATCCCCCCATTTATATTTTTTTTGATACTTTGAAAATTTATGTGTACTGAGCTCAAATCGTAATTTTGAACTTTCAAACAAATTCTAAGTGAATTCTTCAATGCCTAGATAAAACATGAGTTTTAGGGTAATAGGTTAGGCTATGTTAGTCAGTTATTACAAAAAAACTGAACCAGAAACGTCCAACAGAATGAGAAAAAAATCTAAAACAGATGTTGGGTGAAAATTACGAAAAAAATCATTAAAAAAATTATAACTCGAAAACTACGCAAAATCGTAGAACATACATGGGGGTGATTTGGATACTCCTCATCATAAAGTATCTAAATTTTACACTTGAATGTCAACTCCCCGGCCACCCTGTATAATTATATTTATACAGAAGTACGTATTACACATCCATGACTGGAGTACAAATGTTCATATTCATCACAAACATCTACCCCACTGGGATTCGAACCTGGGACTTCTCGAGTAGGCGACACCATGAAACCCAGCGTACAAAACCACTCGGCCAAAGAGGTCATCAAAATGTATATGAGTATGAATGTGATATCAAACAGTCTTTAGTGTTCCCCTCTAACTTAAAGAAGTGGCAATGTGAGATAAGCTTAACTCCTTTCCAATATTCCAACAACTATGAAATGAAAGGGATAAAGAAAGAGTAAAAGTTACGCAATTTGTGGATGCCACTTTATGTTCATCTTATCATTGTTTTCAATGCAAAACAAATTTAAATGTTTGCCATCTCTTAAAGATTGATTGTGAAATTATGAATTAAAGTTTAGACTGTTAATAATTTGATTTCTTAAACTCAGTGGAGCTTTTACTATTTGAACTAAATATAAGACCTGATTCTGGTATGATCTTAACTTAAAACTTAATTTAAAAGCTGTATTGCTGTCTAGTTTACACTAAAGTCACATTTTCTTTTAGAGATTGCTTGTTTGCAATTGTTGCCAGAATTATCATATAAAATGGACCACAAGTGAAAATCAGATATTTATTCTCATTCAATGAAGAAATTTTAGGATATGACTTGGATATAAGTTTAGAAGCATTTAAGTAGAAGGTATGAGTATTGACTTAAGTGGCGATTCTTTGTATTTTAATAAGTACAGTTAAGGTTGTCTTGCAAAAATTTGGAGTATCTATAGTATTACATATTATTTAGTATACTACAACTAACTTACTATAGTAAGTTTCTGTTTTGTTTGGATTATTTCATGTATTTCATTAATTTAAACAACCTTAATTTTAAATATTTAATGGAGTTTTTTTCTAATATGAAACTACAAGACACTTTGTTTTCACCGAATACCCTCTTTTTAATTTTTATGTTACAAAAACCAGTTGGAAGCAAATAGCAAAATAATTAACAATAGCCACAATAAAATTTACCAATGTGGTGCCTAGAATTATCCATAACTTAAAGAAATTAAAAGAAAATAAGATAGTCTCAGTCTACTGATTGAGTGATAAATGTTCAAGCATACATACCAAAAAACTTCTTTGCATGCTCCACACTTTAAAGGCAGGAAATCTGTAACAAAAATAGGGCATTAAGTTATGCATGTTTCTATTTTGGGAGCCAACATTTATAGGTACCCAAACAAAAGTTTTAAAATGTAAGTTGACGTCCCATTGTTCTTTGTGGATTATGAAGGATATTTAAATTAGACCACGGTGCACAAATTTATCTTACCAAGCTTGTTACAGGATTTGTAAGAACAGTTTTTTCCAATGTGTGGGAATTCCATTGTGGTTTAAGAATTCAGCACTGAACTAAATCTTCGAGGACTTTAGTTTGATTCTGACGTCAACCTGTATTTGTTAACACTTATAAATCCTCTTTCTTTATAATATTGCAAAATGTATTCGTCATTCAGCATTAGAACGCAATTTTTTAAAGTTGACGTTGACATTTGTTTGTTTGACAACTTTGACATAGGGACACTAAAAAAGTATCGATACTTTGTGGTATCGAGTACTTTTCCTTTCGATACCGATACTTTTGTACTCGATACTTGGTTTTCGATACTTCAACTAAATGAGTACTTTTTGGCAAGTATCGATACCTTTAAAAATTTGGATAAGCGCCTTATATTGATAGCAACGCCATCTAGTGGAATCATAGCAAACCTTCTAAAACATTCTATTGCGTTGATAAAATTGGAAGCACAAGCAATCTAGTGTGTCCTGAGACTTACGTATTTGAATTACGCACGTTTAGTTTTGCAGTTGATTACATTAACATTAAACAATTTTAAGAGTATCTACATAATATAGAAATTTGTGAATTTACATGACCGTTTTTTGGTTTCAATTATACGTACTATAATAAAATTTGATTGCTTTTCTTTTAATTTTACCCGGGGGAAGGGGGGGGGGGGGTTTGCTCATAAGGCCCTATGAAATGTACTCGATACTTCGAAGTATCGATACTTTTGTTTCAATACTTTTACGAGTACGATACTTTTTTTCCGATACTACACATGAGTACAGTATCGATACTTTCTATTCGATATCGTGTCCCTACTTTGACATCGACGTTGGTTTTTTTTAATTTATTGGCAATGGATACATTGTCCTTATGCCTAGCATATTACTAAGAACATGCATCTTATTTAATAGACCAATTTTCCCCCCCGATGGGTAGAAAATTGATATTTCGGGTCTTGCCGTAGGCCTGACCTTTGAGATTACCTCTCTCGTTTATGGCGATGAAGTAGGTGGTTTTACTTACATTCGTTTTGGATCCCTTCTTAAATATTGGAATTATATGAGCTTGTTTCCAAGTCATAGGAAAAATACATTCAGTAATTGAACGATTAAATAAAATAGAAATTGACAAAGCAAGACTTTCCGCACAATTAGACAATTAAACAGGAGGTATACCATCACAACCCGGGCCTTTAGATTTATTTAGTTCTTTTAATAGTTTTAAAACCCTTTCCTGGTGTTGGAATGTTTCCCAACAATAAATATAGTGCACAGCACTAGTTGACCAGCAGCATCTCTCGCTGACTCTCTCTCTCCATTACCGGCCACCGTATTGTACGGACGTGCTTCCTATTATATCTAATTTAACTACTTCTGAGTTAGTCCTAACCATAAAACCAAGTTTTTCAGTGTCTGTACTTACAGTGTATTTACCTTTGTGTCTGTATGTGCATAAATATACCTTGACCGATGAACCAGTGTTTGTGTTACTACCATTCAACCTAACTACAGTCCGCTACCAACCGAACACCTCTATGAAAATTTTATTAATGTGATTATTATCATTCAAAGAGCTGGGAACGTTAGTGTAGTTTCTATATGTAGGTAAACTAGGTTTTTTTAAATACACTCTCAAAAAACGCGTTAAATTTGTTACAAATGCTCTGAATATTTATTTCCTTTTTATTATCTATGACGAAAAAATTAGGATATGAGGAACCTCCTCTTTTTGATTTAACATAAGTCCAAAAATATTTCGGGTTATTCTTTATACTGTATTCGTAATTGTTTATAAATTTTGGGTAACATTGATTTTGAACAAGTTTCTGTCTACGTCTCAGTAAGGAAAATCCATCATAATCTCTAGGGTTTTTTGTGACTTTCCATTTTTTATGAACCATGGTGTTTTCCCTAATAATTTTAATGAGTGCTTTACTATACCATATTGGATGGGTAGCTGAAGAATTTTTTGTGCACTTAGGTACAAAAAAGCTGTTTGCTGCAGCAGCTTTTTGAAAAGTAATGCCTAATTTATAGGCATTCAATCGGAACACACTTGTGATACCTTTTATGTTATTAGTAAATAATTGGGTTAGTTTAATAGGATTTCTATTGCCTATCATCTCTCTTTCTTTTGATTCTACATAGACCGTATAATCAACGGCACTTTTTTCTAAAAACATTCGAGTGTAGTTGGTTTTAAAATATACTTTGTACTTATCCTCCGAAGAGTCGAAAGTCCTTTTGTATTTTCGCTTACGCTCGCCCTCCTCTCCGCTTTGCGACCCCATTTTGGCAGATGGGGTTCGCTTCTACGAAAAAATCTATTTACTAGTGTTTTTATCAGTAATTAATTATTAAAAAGAAATAAAATTATTTAAAGAGAAATAAAATCCGCGCGCCTTATTTGACTTCACGCCAAAAAGTCCATTGACGTTGGTCATTTCATTACATTACTTTTAATAATGTTCTACCTGTTGAAAATTTATGAAAACTAAGTAAATACAACCTTAATATATCTACGTATAATTTATAATTTTTGTAAGTACCCTCCATCCTAAATTCTCACTCGGCCTGTTTTATCGGGCAATGTAGGTACTCAGTTCTGTTTGTATATTACAACCATGGTTGTTGTTTTACTACTGTAGAGAAGAGAGAACTTTATTGTAGTGTTTACTACCTCACAGAAGCTTGTCGAAAAAGCTGGCTCGATACATTTTGTGCCAAACACTCCAAGAAACCTTAGAATGCGGCTTATCCACATTCTAATGTAAAAAAAGGAAGATTGATACAAAAATAAGACGATGGCTTTATGGCTTTGCCTTTGCCTTTCGCAATAGGGAAGAATAGAACTAAAAATCTCATGACCTTTACATGTCCTCTTTTGACACTGTCTTGTCGTTTTTGCCAGTTGCTGTCATGTCAAATTAGTCCTTACAGACGGATGTCATCTTCCATGATCCATGATCAAGTTTGAGGCATCGACGGATTCTTTTTCCACATTCCAAGATAATTAGCATTAGGTGATCCTTAGGAAGGATCACTAATTAAATCTGGGATTTATAGAAAAAATATTAGGCAAAATGAGTAAGATAATCCCGTCGGCTGCTAAACTTTTTGCAGCAAATACTGTTTCGGTTAGTATTTTCGAGAAATTCTTAATTTCTTTCAACACTTGTAGTATATGTGAAGATGGAATAGATATTATTTCATATTGAAGAACAATCTCTGTTTTTAATTCATGAAAGTCTTATCATCCTCAGAAATCCGTCAGCCCAGCAGTGTCGACAAATAAAAAATATAGTACAAAATCAGAGGCTACCTTTCAAATCAAGGTGGGTACCTACATAATGTTTAATTACATGGTTTTAGTAATAAATACCTTTACATAGTTAAAATACCTTCCGTCAAACATTTCATTTAATATTTGATATTAATTATGTAACCTAACCTTCAAAAGTCAAATGACTTTGTTTACTTTCATTTGAATGTATAGAATATAACATTTTTTTACGTTAAATAAAGGTTGTTGTGTTATAGACAAGGTTATTGATATCTGAATACATTTACCTGTTTCAGCCCTTCAAACTCCACAAATTGGAGAGTGGGCCAGCAACATCAGCAACACTCACAGCAGAAGATGCCCTCAAATTGTATGAGAGACTTGCTATTTTACGCAGGATCGAAACTGCTTCGGGCAATCTGTACAAGGAAAAAATCATCCGTGGCTTTTGCCACCTGTACTCAGGTTTGTATGTTAGTAGAATGAAAGTGATGGTTATCAAAATACAAATAAATTTAAATTATGATTAATAATTCAACAGTTGAAAATCATAATAGCTTATATATATGCTACTTTGTTGGTGCTTAAAATTTAACATTAAATAAAAACTGAAATGAAGTTGTTTTTCAGCACCAAAGTGGCGAATAAACGATTTTGCATTTGCACTATGAATATCCATTTTTCTTCTTCTACTAAAACCCTAATTAAATGTCTAACACTTACTTTTAGCATAGGTATTCTAAGATAATGATATACCTCTTAATAATAACCCAGCAATTCACCTGAATTGTGCTTGTTTTTCTCTAAGCTTGGTACGAAGTAAGGCTCTCTTTAATCTGACCTAAGCCTAATTAAATATTACTGTAGTCTGCATAGTTGTTCCTATATTTTTGGAACTGTTATTTTTGGATTCATGTAAATAAATGAAACAAAAATAAGTAGGTAGAGGTTCAATTTAGTGCATAATTAAGACCCTGACTGTCTAATAAAGCAGATATAAATTTATATTATTAAATATTATCTTCAATGAATAAAATATCTAATTTAAGTTTTTAGTTCATCATCATTTCATATGTTCATTAGATTGAATAATAATGATCTGTAAATTTCAAGCAATAATAGTCCTCATCTAGTATAATCATATTCAAAACATAATTTCATAATATCACATAGTATTCCCAAATATTGATGTTTAACATCTCAAAGTAAACCGTAAAAATACCTCAATTGATAGGTCAGGAAGCTGTCGCAGTAGGAATGAGAGCAGCAATGCGTGATGTAGACTCTGTGATTACTGCATACCGTTGCCATGGATGGACTTACCTTATGGGTGTGAGCGTGCTCGGGGTACTGTCTGAGCTGACTGGCAGACGGACAGGCTGCTCGAGGGGCAAGGGTGGTTCTATGCATTTGTACAGTAAGAACTTTTATGGAGGCAATGGCATTGTCGGTGCTCAGGTAATTGAAAACTAAACTTTATTCAATTTTTTACTATATGTATATATTTTTACTACTGTTTATTAAAAATTTGTATTCAATTTTATTGTTTGTATAAATTACTGAACTGTTGAGATTCATTTATGTTAAAAAATTAAATAAAGAAATAATATAATTTTGTAGGGTAGGCAAATTACTTACCCCATCTGATGGTAAGTGGTGGTTAACTATTGGTGAACTATGGCTAGTGTGTAGCCATCAATCATTAATCAATGAATTATGAATTTACACAATTAAAATGATGAAAACAATACTATTCTGTACTTGCATAATAAAAACCAAAATGAATATCTGTGAATGAATTCGGCTATCCATTCATTGGGTAAGATAATTTTAAACGGAAATCCCAACCAATCCCGCCCACTAGATCACAGTTTGCGTGGAACCACTTCTTAGCAGTTCATATTCCATATTATTCCTAATTCGTTGTTTCAGGTACCTTTAGGTGCGGGGGTAGCATTTGCCCACAAGTACAGAGGAGACGGCGGTGTTTGCTTCGCGTTGTACGGTGACGGGGCTGCCAATCAGGGCCAACTTTTCGAAGCGTACAATATGGCTGCTCTGTGGGATTTGCCTTGCGTGTTTGTCTGTGAAAACAATGGATACGGTGAGATTTGATTCTTATTATTGTGTATAATCTACTGCTCTATAAAATAACATAAACAAACACGCTGAGCGGGCGTCCGCTCCGTGTTCCCGCTTAACGCAGCGCAGGCCCTTATGCTACTGCGACCTTAAGGACCATGTCGAATTTCCTCAAGTATTTCTTAGGCTGCAAGGCAGCGCTTTCTCTTCGCATTGTAGGTAACCCCCAATGTCAAATGAATACCTTTACAGGTATTAAACATTAGAAAGAAGAAATAGCAAATATTGTTATATTTTTATTTTTTAAGCATTTAATTGCTAGATGTTTAAATACAGGGTTAATTTTAAAACACCAACAGCCTCTTAGGGGGTGATACTACCCATCAACACTTTTACGGGACCTACTCTGAAATCGCGCATAAAAATCTGCTGTTTCATACATTTCGGTCGATTAGCTGATGCATTTTTGTATGAAATAGCCACAGACCTATGTCTGTGGAAATAGCAGATTTTTTTTCGCGATTTCAGCGTTGGTCCCTTAAAAATAGTTGTTCCTGTTGATGGGTAGAATGAACCCCTAAGAGGTTGATGGTCTTTTAAAATTAACCCTGTATAATATGGAATAAACGTTTAAACAATATAATCTTTATCCGATCAGGAATGGGTACAAGCGTGGATCGTGCCTCAGCCAGTACAGACTACTATTCTCGCGGTGACTATGTCCCCGGTATCTGGGTCGACGGTATGGATGTACTCGCTACTCGGGAAGCTACCAAATTCGCCATCGATTACTGCACCAAAGGAAAAGGTAAGTTTTAGATGTAAAGTTCTAGGTAGCTGCCACCCGCGTATTCGTCCGCGTTATAGTTGTAACCCTTTTTGTCAATGAGAGAGAGAGAGATTTTATTGACCAATAAAAACACACAAACATAATTATAAACAGCTGAAATGAAACATATATAGAAAGTAAAGGTGGTATCAGACGATTCACTAAGCGTTCATTTTTGTCTTTCATTCGACATCTTTCACTCGAAATGATTCGTCTGAACCCCTAATGATACAATAGTGCCGAATGAATTCATTAATGAACCGATCCGACGATGTTAGATTTTATCATTCGGCATCTTTCACTCCAACTGCGAATGAACGAAAAATGAACAGCCTGCACACAGAAAGAAGTAAAGAACGTTCACTCGGATTCGGCCATTTTGTCTCCAGTAGCAGACGCACGTCCCGATGCGTCACGGGAAATTGGTAGTAAAATAGTGTTCAAGTGGAATGAGCAAAGTACGCTGCTGTTTTTGGAACATTTTAAGAATTATCAATGTTTATGGAACCACAAACTTGACGAATACAAAGATAGAACATTACGTACAAACGCTATAAAATCCCTTAATAAACCATTTACTTTTGAATTAAATTATCACAAATTAAACGGATTCCGTGTCGCCCTTCTACACCCGATGACATATTTAATGTAAATAACAGATGAATGTTCTTTCCTTTGTCATTCGCAGTAAGTCGTGTGAACATGGAATGAAAGAAAAATCAAGCATTCTTTCTTGTGAATGTTCACTCGAGTGAACCGTCTGATATCACCTTAAGCATCACAAACATTGATAAACCTGACAGTTATAATATTGGTCAATCGGGACCCTGCCTCAGCATAATGCTGCCGTGACATGTAACTAAACGCGTTACGACAGGGCTGGTATTCTGACACCGACTGGGCAAGGAGCTAATTTTAAATTAAAATTAAAACATTAGTAAACAATAACAAATAAAAGGGTTGATAACCTCAAGCGTCACTTTCAACTCAATGTCACTTTAAGTTGCGTTCAGAAATTCGATTTTAAAACTTTAGTTCACATAAATAATCCATGGTCGTTCGTGACCGTAAGTTACTGCGTCAATGATTATTCATTTATTAATAAATTTCACTTCTTAAACTTATAATCCTAATTAAATATTAAATAAGATGTATTAATACTGCCAACAAAGAATTCTTTATAAATCAATAAAATTTTACATTCAACAATTGTTTAGGCTGAACAATACATACTAGCCTTGACCTTCACCTGTGCAATTTAAAAGAAAAATTGATCATTCAACTGTGGTGGAATAGGGATTGCATAGTCGGTTGCTAAATTAGCCGTAGCCCAGAAAACCTATTAGGTACATAGTTAGTTTTTCGAGAATACTATTAGAACCTTATATTAAAAAGGAAAAAAAACGGTACGCTTATTTTAGCATCAAATAAAATATGCTCCACTCAATTACATAAGCAACTCTCATATACGTCTGTAAATAAACATTCAATCGAGCGAGCGAGACGGAACAGTACGCTTTAACGCAGCGCGAGCGAAACGGCGAGCCCGCGTCGCTTGGCAAACGACTGTGTTTTCTTTTCTCTCTCTGCAAACGGCTGGGCTGTATTGTTATCCTTTTCTTGATAACAAATGGCGAATAAGTAAATAACATTCATGACAAACCATGATTTTTGAGAAAAAAAAAGGTTTTTATGGTTTTATGATTGAAAAATGTTGCCGTGGAATTTGTTATTTGATCTTCAACTGTATTTGTGTTCTTTTTAAAATCATCTAAGTTATTGTTTTATCTTTATAACACAGAACATACGCAATATTGTTATGTTGAGTGCACTTGCAGCGTGATTGGATGCCCAATTGTGACTAAAGCGAATTGTTTTCATGCACCACAATATAAGCAGTACTCTTTTGAGTCGCGAGTGCCGTATCTTACCTTTTTGCTTTAATCCATGATTAGAACATATTTTTTTTTCTTAATAAAAAGGTAATAAGCTAATTATGTCTGCCATAACGTTATCTAATGCGTCCAGACGTTTTTGCGTGATTTATTAAAAAAAATACGAGCACGTTTTTAATTTAAGTAGGTTATATACTTTTTGTTTGCTACCCGTCTGATCTGGTTTACACACAGGTGATATCTAAGTATGTTAACGCGAAAGAATAGCGCTTATTTAGTTTTTGATTTCGTTAGAATTTTTTAAAGTGTACCTACTAGATAGTTAAAAAAATGAATGGATACAGTAAAGGCGTTAAGTCAGGAAATGTTAGGGCGTGACAGGGAGACGTATGTAAAAGACTACTGGTTGCCTGCGAATTAAGTTGGTTTCTTATAAAAAAAAGTACCTGTCCCTTTTCAATCCATTAGGTATAATTTCTAAAAACTATCCTAATTCCTTTCCCGGCTCTCAAACTATCTCTTATTTCATATAAATCGGTTTAACGGCTTCATGTGAAGAGGTTACAGACTGACAAACACTTCGCATTCATAAGATTATTATGACTGGACTTACGACTAAAAGTGCCAGCATTATGATTTGTTACTGTTATGTGTTAAGATTGAAAAAAAGACTGCATAATTAATTGTTAAGGTATGTTTCAGATTACAATGAAGGTTGCTTTATCAATCTTTGGGCGTGTATGGTTGAATGCAAATAAAAAATACTGATATGTTTTGCTTTGTTGTTTTGATTGCGTACGTACCATGGTAAAGACAATCGTGTGAGAGTAGTCGATGTAAAGACGAAATCGGGTGTGCTGCGTCGGTCAGCAGCTCGCGTCACTCCTATCTCGTTGAGAGTTTAGTGCTGTTCCTGCACTAGGGGGGGGGGGGGGGGAGTGTTAGCGACGCGCTCATACATTTTTTTATTTTAAGGTATTTTGATATTTTTGTGTAACGGTGCCTGCGAGCACTACGCAGCGGCTTCCCGCCGCCAGTCCGCGATCTATGTTCGACGACACCTCACGTCACCTTGTGTTCCATATTTTCCATGTGCTTTGCATTAAACAGTCTGTAACCCGGATTTGCGCATTTTATTTGAGTGTGTACCTCGGCACTGCTACATAAGGTATATAATATGTGACAGCTGCAAATATTATCGCTCAGCTGGAAGAACTAATGCGTCCTACAAGGTTCTCTCTGTAACTATTACTAGCAATACTATTGGATTAGGTGTTAGTCTGTCTGTTACCTCTTCACGTTTAAACCAAAGATATTTTATAATGATGGCATTAGAGTGATATATATTTTTTTATTAGCTCACAAAACAAGTTACAATTTAATATTAAAAAACAAAGCAATTACAATATTATAATACCATACTCTAACTCTAAATATATGGGCATAACATGTTAAAATTTTATGAACTGAACTTACCAGAAAAAAATATATTTAAAATCGAATTTGAACGCAACAAAAAAAAAAACACTAAAACAAAGGTACAACTGAATGAAATGATGATGATGATGATATGAATGATGAACATATGAACATAACACGGCGTAACTAGTATAAGCTTATTCCTCGTTTATAAATAAGGGAGCCACAGTATATATTAACTTTTTCCTTATGAACGAAACTGACTTTTGAAACGCGACGCCATCCGACGCGACGGGACACCTATTTTCTATTATCAGTGTGTGCGCATCGCGTCGCGTCGGATGTTCATAATGTGATTCTGGGGGCTAATCACCTAACGGGATTGCTTTGGCTATTGCTATTGCTTACGATTTCATTATGTTATTTCTGACTGCCGAAGGTTTTCAAATATCTCACGCTCATTTTCTTTAATATTGTTAGTACCAATACAATAGAAAAAAAAGAGCGCGTGGCATTTGAAAACCTCAGCCTAAAATAACAAAATGAAATCGTAAGCGACAGCCATAGCAATCCCGTTAGACGAATGACCCCCTGATCTTAGGAAATAGTACATTTGATTTGAGTCAACACGCGTCGCGTGGCGTCGCGTTTTAAAGATCTGTTTCGGCGTTGACTTAATAACATTGCTGCGTAGGTTTTTAAACATTTTCATCCATCCGCCCTCAAGGTCCTCTCGTAATGGAGATGGAAACGTACCGTTACTCGGGGCACTCGATGTCTGACCCCGGCACTTCGTACCGCACCCGCGACGAGGTCCAGGAGGTGCGGCAGACCAGGGACCCCATCACCTCCTTCAAGGACAAGATCCTGACCAACAACCTCGCCACGCAGGAACAACTCAAGGTCAGTGGCTTACAGACCTAATTCTGATGTATAAATGTGGATTCCCTAGGTATAGTTCAAGTAGAGACGCGGTGAAATCCCCCCAAAGGGGGAGCACGTGGTTTCGCACTAAGCAGCGTAGAGGGTATTCGCAGGATTTTTTTGAGTGTGTCTGCCGCGATCGTAAGGCATACGGACTGATTAACGACTTCGTGCCAGCGTCAGTAAACAGGTTTTACCTGCGGTAAAAAAGGTATATTTCAAGTAGGAGTGTCTAGGTGTACTTTAAATAAGAAACAGACTAAGATGAATAAACCTCTTTCAAGAACTATATGCTCTCCAAGAATCTGGACACGCAGGACCAGCTCAAGGCCAGTGGCTTACAGACCTATTTCTGAGGAGTGGCTAAGTCTTTTGTTCTATAAATATGTATATACTAGGTATACTTCAATTAGAGGAATTTAAAGTGAGTGTCTAGGTACTCGTATATGTAGAAGAAGCAAGCAATAGGTGTAACATTTTTGTTACTAACCGACTACCAAAATCGGAAAACAAAAGACTAAATATTTCAGGGTGTAGTTTTTGCTGTGAAATAACTGAAACAAGTTTATTTACCTCATACTGGTTTTATTCGTCGTAGTGGCGTTTACAAGCAATTTCCAATGTTATTAAACCAAACACGTTTTTACTTTCCCTGAGAAAACAATTGCGATGGTGACAGCTTCTTGTTGTCCTTATATTTGAAGATTAGGAGTCCACACTGTGCATCAGGCCTTGTCAAAGTTATACACTACTGCGTGGTCTGATCGACATTTTGTTACTTATAGACATTGAAGCCAACTAATTTTTGGTTATTTCATATAGAATGATAAAGTATATGAATTCTAAATACAATGCTTACTTTGGGGTTAGGCTAATAAGTGTGAGTGGGAAATATTTATTTTATTTATTTATTACAGTAATGGTGGTTGTTTATCGCAGGAAATCGACGCTAAAGTTCGTACGGAAGTAGACGAAGCCACCAAGCAGGCGAAGAGCGAGCCAGAAATAGGCGTAGAGGAGCTCAGCGCAGACATTTACTACAACTGCGTAGAGGAAAACATTCGCGGCATTTTACCCAACGCGCCGATGAAGCACCTCGAGGTTGTCGCGCGCAAATAACGCTCTTACCGCCTAGGAAATTAGGTCTGTTTTCCAATCCACTCACTATGTTCAACGAACGAACGAACTATTTATTTTTTTAATCTGTCATTTTGTAATCCTTATACAGGCAGTCCTCGACTTACGTCGTTTCGATTTACGTCGTTTCAAGTTGCGTCGAACAATGTTTTGACATTATTCCTCAAGCATACGTCAATTGTTTCGATTCCCGGCATAGGAGAATTCACTGAACCCTTGAGTTTTACATGTAAACACATGAAAAAATATGTCTTGATTTACGTCGCGCATTTCGAGAATCTAACATGCCGTAAGTACGAGGACTGCCTTTTCTTTGATTTATTCATTCGTACAGATGGAGCTGTACAAATAATCCGCACGAATAAAACGGCTCGTGTTTCGCGCAATTTTTGCGTGTGTAGCGACGAGCGTGTCTTATCTACCATATGTAGTAGATATTTTTCTGCCGCATCCTTGTAGTTAAAACGGTATCTGGTAGTATGTTATCATAGTCCTAATAGTTCAAATTAGTGCTAGATGAATTTAGGAGTCTAGTCTGTAATACGGTATGTGTTGCTTCGTAATTTGTCACATAAAAGCGACATGCGTTAGGGCTTCGTCGCTTAGAACCGACTTTTTCTAGGCCTGTCGCTTTGTCCTTCAAAAGCTACAAGCACTAAGAAAGAATGTCTATATTGTCGATGGGCTTCGTAACTCAAATGCATTTTTTAAACGACATTTAGTAAACATTGGTGTCGATTCTGGCATAATTCTCTAAACTTAAAACTGAATTTAAGATCAGTGTCTCTTTCTCATTCTGTATACAATACAATACAAAGTACTTTATTGAAAACACCACAATACAGAACACAAATGAGGAAATTACAATTGTAAAAAAAGAGTGCTTCAATGCGTGGTCTTAACGCTAAAAGCAAAAAGCTTAAAAAAAGCTTGCTGGAAGAAATCTCCAGACATCCTTCTTTTGTATAGAGAAAGGCAAAGATAAAAGCCACCGTATACCACAATTAATCTATATGAAAAATCTATTTTAATTTACAAGTGAACAATTACAGCCGATTACAATTTTGATTTTCACAATAATATGGAACAACTTTGTATATTGATAAGTAAGAAATATATTTTATGGCAATTTATTTTGTGTATATAGCGTTACGTTAGAAACAGACATTTTTTGACATTGGAATTTTAATTTTATACTTTGTTAAGCTTTGTGTGATACTGCCGACCTATGGTGTCAAGCCTCAAAACATATACATTTTATAAATTATATCTTCATGTACGTGTATCCGTTTGTTTATTGTTAAAGGAATACAGATCATTATTTATGAGACACAGTTTTTCTTGATTTTCATTAATAAGACTACCTGTAGGAATACTTTCTAACATTGCGATTGCGAGGACCTCGATGGCGCAGGTGGTTAAAGCATTCTGTCTGCGATCAACTCTGCGAGCAACTTTCGCAATGGTCGGTGATTGGATGGGTGACCGAAAACTTATTATGATCCCGGCTGCATCTGCAGTCGTTAGCACCCACCAATCCGCACTAGGCCCGCGTGGTGGGCCACGGTCCAATCTCCCTATTCCATCCATAGGGAAGGCCTGTGCCCCAGCAGTGGGGACATTGATGGTCTGATGATGAACACTGCGATTGGATCGATCGAATTAAAGCCCTCACTGACTGCAGACTTTTCTATAGGTCGCTGATAACTTCACTTTCATATATTATCATCCTCAAGGATCTCCGTGGCAGTGGTTTGTACGCAGGATTCAAGATGTCGCCTACTCGAGAGGTCCCGGGTTCGAATCCCGGTGGGGGCAGATGTTTGTGTGATAAATACGAGCATTTGTGCTCCAGTCATTTTTCTTTATTTATTTATGAAGGACGACCAACAAGATACAAGCATCGGCGATAATTAGAAGCTATCTTAATTAAAGGTTACCACCGCATGCATTACAAAACAAGGCATTGAACATTATTTAGCATAATTTTAAGTGAAATCAATAAGAAAACAAAAATTTAAATATACCGCACAATACAAATAAATATTATTTAATTTAAAAACAAGTATAATTATTTCCTGACTTGAAATTATGGCAACCGAAAATAATCAAAATGACGACAGCAATATTATCATATCACGAAATTACAATTTTTTTTTATAGGAATACAATTACAACATAACAAAAGTGGACACAAGAAGCGAAGATTCAGGAAGATTTAATAAGTTTATTTACTTTATGTTTAAAATAGAACTACTACCAAGAATGTCCAGGCTATTGTCCAATTTAACCATAGCGTTATAAGACCTACACATTCGATTTAGAGAGCTGTTTAAACTTAAGTTCGTTCCAAAGCACTTGAGTGAAAACAAAGAGTAAGCGGAGGGTCGCCTGAGCTTAAAAGGTGCACTAAAACTTATCTTTGAAATCAAAGATGGACAGTCAACTTTGTTATTTACAACATTATATGAAAACATGAGATCCAATAGTTTCCCTCTGTCACTCAACTTGCTCATCCTGAAATGTCCCAGCCGTTCCTCATAACTAGGCAATTTTTTAGCAAGATGATACTAGAAAGACAAATGCCACAAGAAGCGTTTTTGGACTTCTTCTATTCGCTTTGAGTACACATCGTAATGCGGGTTCCACACTGGCGAGCAATATTCCAGGTGACTACGCACAATTGCGTTGTATATATGGATTTTTGTTTCATGTTTTTTGAAGTCCCTGCAATTACGTATTATGAAACCAAGAGACTTAAAACAGCGAGATACTACTTGATCAATGTGGAGATGAAAACGCAGCTTGCCATCGAGAATAACGCCCAAATCTCGAACACTATCAGTACGGGTTAAATATTTACCATTCACTCTGTAAGTATTTACTACATTTGTCTTATTCCTGCTGAATTGCATTACAAAGCATTTGGCTACATTTAGTGACATGAGATTTCTATCGCACCAGGAAGCAAGCCTGTTAAGATCATTCTGCAATAGGAGGGTATCATCCCCAGACACCATCGGCTTCAGGATTTTCAAATCGTCAGCAAAGAGATAAATCTGTGAATGAAGGAAACAAGTGTGTATGTCGTTCACAATATGTTAAATAATATAGGCCCCAAATGCGATCTCTGTGGAACTCCTGATGAATTATAATAAGTGCCGGATACGTATCCATTCATTACAACAGTTGACCTTCTGTCTGTGAGATAAGATTGGAACGACTTCAAAACGTTTCCGGAGATTCCCAGAGATGACAACTTCTCCACAAGCAATCGGTGATTTACCTTGTCGAAAGCCTTTGAGAAGTCTGCATAAACCACATCTACAGGGATACGCTCATCAACACAATGAATAACATCATCCAAAAATGACACTAGATTAGTGATAGTTGATCTGTTTTTCATAAAACCGTGTTGATGCATAGTAATGCTAGACTTTACGTGCCAAGATATAACAGGCACAATAAGAGATTCGAACACTTTCGCAAATATAGGTAATATGGATATGGGTCTATAATAGGGGTGATGACGGGGTACAGTAAACGAAATTCTATTTAGTCCGTCAGTTAGATGATCAAAAAATAATGGACACGTATTTTTTCTTTGGGCAATCAACCAAAAAATTACAAAGTTATAGCGCGTCAAAGTTTAGGAGTAGGGGCTCGTGATGTCACTTTTGAGTGAATTTTCGCTTATAAGTGTACTCAAACGTGACGTCATGCGACTTTTCAAATCATTATATCTCTGTAATGTTTATATTATGTGAAAAAAGAAAAAATACGTGTCCAATACTTTTTGATAATCTACCTGATAAACGAAGAAAAAAAAAATTAGTCATGATTCCTATTTTTTATATCGTTCTTAGAACCCGACTTTTTTTTTTTTTAATTTATTTAGGACAACCAACAAAGCATAACACAGCGTCAGTGTTAGTAGCTACAGTAGCAGTTTAAAGCTAGGATTAGTGTCGCTTTAATTATAGGTTGCCACGGCATGCGCAATAGGAAGCAACTAAAATTAACAAGTTCTATGTGCTAGCATTATTCAGCAACTATGAGCTAGTTTTGACCACAAGGCGGCACCCCAGACCAAACTCCGTTTTTTTTTTCTCTATTACATTGTCTATATCTATTTATAAGGTTCGTAGTCGGGCTGACTACCGCCCAATAGCATAATCTATATAACTATAATTAGTTACTAAAGTACTTAATCAATATTACTTACTACTAAGTACGGCATACAATTCTCTTTTAAATTGAGACAAGGTTGTGGTAAAAATATCAAAGGTGTTGTTTTTAGAGAGGTTATTATATAAGCTTACAAGTCTATTGAGTGGTGCTGATTTTCCCAGATTTGTTTTGGTTTGATTTGGAATAAATACTGAGAAGCGGGATGCGCGTGGTAATTTTCGAGGACAGCTAAATCTAATTTTCGAGAATAACTGCGGACAATCAAATATACCATTGACAAGTTTATAAAGAAATACCTGATCAAGAATCTGTCTTCTTAGATTGAGAACCATTATGTCATATCTTTTTAAACGAGCATTATATGAGGTCAATGTTTTAGCTTCATTACATTGGTAAGATAAATAATATAGAAATCTTTTCTGTACTCGTTCTAATCTAGATTGATGAACATTATAAAAGGGTGACCAGACAGTACTGCAGTATTCGATGGCAACCTCACAAGAGAATTAAAGAGAGTTTTTTTTGTAAATTTATTTTTGAAATTTTTACTATTTCTTATTAAAAAGCCCAATATTTTAAAAGCATTTGTTATAATTTTATTATAATGGGCGTTAAAAGTAAATTTCTTATCTAAAACTATGCCTAAGTCGCGCACTATATCAACCTCTCCGATCCTTTGCCCACATATAAAGTACTGGCTTTACAAGAGATTTACATTTTTCGTGAAGGTTATGTGGTGGCATTTCTCAATATTTAGTGACATACGATTGTTGCTACACCACTGACTCAAACGATTGAGATCATCTTGAAGAAGGTGGGAGTCCTCTGGCTGTTGTATCCCCTTCATTATTTTCAGGTCATCAGCATAAAGGTAAAACTTTGAATATTTAAAACATAATGAAATGTCGTTTATAAAGAGGTTAAAGAAGATGGGAGCAATATGAGAGCCTTGAGCTACCCCAGAGGGGATATTATAGGGTAGGGAGCAATAGCCATCCATCTCCACTTTTCCCATGCGTGATTTTAGGTATGATCCACACCAATTGAGAAGGTTGCCAGCAAAGCCGTATTGTTCTAGCTTTTTAAGAAGTATGCGGTGGTCAACCTTATCAAAGGCTTTTGCAAAATCAGCATAGATTACATCAGCTTGAATGCGAGAGTCAATAAGTTCGATTACATCGGTGGCAAAAGATACTAAGTTAGTGGTGGTAGATCTGCCACTAGCAAAACCATGTTGTTCAGGTATCAATATTTGTTTCATATGATGAGTGAACACAGGATACATAAGTGATTCTAGTAGCTTTGCAAATACCGGCAGAATGGATATTGGCCTGTAATTAATTACGAATGTCGAGTCTCCCGACTTGTGAATAGGCACTATAATAGCCTCCTTCCAAATTTTAGGAAATACTCCAGAGGACAAAGATTTACCAAAAATAACAGAAAGAGGAAAGGAGAGTACTTTAGCACAGTTGCATACAAATAGTGATGGTATGCCATCTGATCCGGCTCCTTTATCACCGTCAAGCCCTTTTATAGCATTCAAAACCTTATCTTGGGAAAAACTTATAGTATTTAAATAGTTGGAACTTTTTATAGGGTTATCCAGTAAATCTAAGTTAATATATAGACTATGGTCTTCGTATACAGAGAAGAAATAAGATGCCATTGTTTCGCATATTTCAGGGCCGGTTGAAACTACTGTGTCTTTAAAAAACATTCTAGAGGGATAAATACTACTATTTCGTCTTTTTTGCTTCATATAAGACCAAAAAAATTTTGCATTGGATGTGATAGAAGATTCAATGTTAGTTAAATATTTATTATAGCATAAAATACTCATAGCAGTGCATCTCTTTTTTAATGTATTGTATTTTACGTTATCTAAAGGATTTTTGTATTTGTTGAATCGTTTACGATATTTGTATTTTTCGTGAAGTAGACGCTTTAATTCTTTCGAAAACCAAACAGGATAATTATTAGATCTGTGCTGTTGTTTTGGTACAAATTTTTCGATAACAGTCCTAATTATCTTATAAAACTTATAGACTATTTCGTCGACCGATAAATTTTCCGAGCCACCCAAACAAAACTCCTCATTCCAGTCAACTAAACTAAGATATGAAACAATTTTTTCATAATCAGCTTTAATGAAGTTAAATTTTTCATGGTTAGCGTTCTTTGGCAAGCAAATTTGAGAACCAGGTAACGATACGTTTACCAATTGCATAGAAGAATTGATGAGATTATCAACTACAAGATTTGTTAAAATCAAGTCTTAGTATTTTGTTATTTTTATTTCGTATATAGTTATGTTGGTTCAAATTATTTAATACAATGAAGTCTAAAAACATTTGTGAGATGAAATTATTAGTTATTGATATACCCTTTAGGTGACGATTGTCGGATCCAGACCACTGTATGCTGGACATGTTAAAGTCTCCCACTAATAAAACATTCTTATATTTTTCCATAACCTTACTACAATTTTCAATGAAATGTTCTGTAATATGGCTTTGTAAGGGTGGAGGTAAATATGCACAGCATAAAATGATCTTTTCCGTTTTATTGTTATTTTTTTTTAATTCTATTTCGATCCAAATATCCTCGCATTTACTTTGCAAATGTAGTAATCTAACCGAAGGTATTTTCTTCGAGATTGCAATTAATATTCCGCCACCTTCTTTCTTTGGGAAAAACCCACTTGATTCTCGATCACGTCTGTATACGGTGTAGCGATTTGTTAATAATTCGTGATCGTATACACTACTATTCAACCACGTTTCGACTAATATAAGTATGTCATAATCACAACATGCAGATTTTTTATATAAAGTGTCAGATTTAGTTCGTAAGCCTCTTACGTTTTGAAAATAAATATTTAATTTAGTGGGAGTGAATTTAAATGTATTTAATGATATAATAATCAAGCTTTGGCACACAATAAATAGATAATAATGAAGGAAATTAAAAAGATTACAATTTTAACTTATCTAATGTCTCCAAGTTGCGTACGTAAATTGTCTCTGAATCTTCATTTTTGCGAAGAAAAATACGTCCATTGCGGACCCAAGTAAATTTAAACTTCAATTCTTTTGCCTTTAGCCGTGCAGCAGCATGAATATTCTTGTACTCTGGTGATAGGTTTTCAGTAATAAATATTGGTTCCTTTTTGTCAGAGCATATACCAAGATGGCTCGTATTTAGCTTGTCATCCGTGTGATTTTTATTGAATTGTATCACTGAGGCAAGAAAAGTATCTCTGATTCTTGGTGTTATAAACTTCACAAGTATAGTGCGAGGACGTTTACTTGCCTGGTTTTTTTTTGCTATTCGGGAACAATAAGATATTTCATGCTCGTTCACTTTTATGCCTGTAACTGAACCAATCTGCTGTATGATGTTCATAATATTCTCTGATTTAAACTCGGGAACACATTGAACTTCTAGATAGCTGATCTATTTGATTGAGACGTGAGGACATGTTGGACAATTCAGAGCGCAGGAATTCATTTTCTTTTTTTAAATTACTTACTTGTTTGTTGTTATTGTTTACATCACTATTTAATTTATCAAACTGATCATTAAGGAAATTGAGGGAAGTCTTAAATTCCTGAATTTGATCTGAAAATTCTCGTATCCTATTGTCCAAAGTGTTATTTATTTTGCCCATAAATTCCGTCATCATATTCCTCATTTCATCTCGAAATTCTAATATGTCAGAGCTGGTTGCATGATCAGAGATTTGCGTACATTGAGTAGTGGTTGGTTCCGGTTTGTTATTCGCCTTACGCCGGGCCACGTTAAAAGTTATCTCTGCTAGGCCGGTCGGAGTCGTAGGTCGCACTGGTATGTCTTCATTTGCGCCTTTACGTTGCTTGCTTAAGCAGTGAGGACATATCCACTTTTCTTTGTATTCCTGAGTGAATTGCTTAGAATCCCTCGTTGAGAGGCCAAGACATAGGTGGTGGTACTTTTGTTTACAGCGTAAACATTCCAAATAATCATTTTTCCCGATACTTTCGGTACAAGCGTGGCATTGAGACATAGTAATAAACAACTTGTTGAGTACGTTTGGCCTCTTACGGTAATGTGCGATAGCACTATTTTTTTTTTTCGCTCCGGGTGTTATTCAATGTGCGATCGTGACAGCAATTATTCCTTCAGACTTCTCGCAGCTGATCGGTGAGGTATGAGGACACCCCTCTCGCTGCTGTTGTCCGTTGCGATCCCCACTATCCTTGCGCACCTTTGCCGCCAAATATTGTTCACTTTTTACTTGTAAACACTGCACTCGATTGTAGTTCTTACGTGCTAACGTGCTGACTTGTGAGGTATTATGCGGGATTCTTTCCAATCCGATGGAAATGTACCCAACTTTAAAGAGTGGATGTAAATAATGGTGAGCGGAATACTAAGCACCTCAGCACAATTGATGGCAAACCATATATCGATTTATAAATCGATTTAATCCAAGAAGAGCTTTTTTACGTCGGCTTCAGATATGATTACAGAGCTAAGACTTTGGCTGCTCTGCGAAATTGTGGGGTTAGAACTTGCTGAACTTGGAGGCTGACTGTAATCAAACACAGAGGAAAAACTTAGCAAATAAGTTACAGATCTCGTTACCGGTTGAGACTGTGTGACCATCTAGATGCATTTTAAGTGGAAAACTGCTAACAAGCTTAAGGACAAGCCCCCCGCTTGTCCTTAAGATAAGACCGTAACAGTTTTGGATTGTCTTTTATTTTAGACTCCAATTGAGTGATATATTTACCATAGCAAATTTGAGCTGCTTTTTTGCACCTTATCTTTAATATGTCAAAGGAAATGACATCGAGAGGGTTTTGAAACTTTTTAATCTTGTTGCGAAGTTTGTTTTTTCGCGAAGAAGACAAATAAGGTCACGATCAAACCACGGTGGATACATAGCAGAAGACATGTCAAAGGAAATGACATCGAGAGGGTTTTTAAACCTTTTAATCTTGTTGCGAAGTTTGTTTTTTCGCGAAGAAGACAAATAAGGTCACGATCAAACCACGGTGGATACATAGCAGAAGACACTCTACGATTAGGCACGTTATCGCTTATAAGCCTATTGAGAATTGAGTTAAATTTAGCTACCATAGAATCGACACTAAAAGCCTCGAGCTCCGAAGACCAGTCCACCTTAGAAAGTTCTGTTCTAATTAGATCATAATTGGCTTTGAAAAAATTCTTTCTAGATGATTAATTATTATTTAGATATTTAAAATTCGGAGCATTTAGGTCAATCTGTAACGCCGGATGATGCCTATCTACAGAAACCAGGGGATCATGACAACACTACTACGGCTGCCCCGCTAGTAAGAACAAGATCCAGTATTTTACCAGATCAGTTCAAGACGTCATTAAATTGATTTAGATTATTCACATTTACAAAGTCCAGCACAGAATAAGAGACACTCACCGAACCAGTGACCGAATGAGGGACATCCACGTCAGAAGACCAATTGATGTTGCTTAAGTTAAGGTCATCAATAATAAAAACGTTAGAACACAACTCAAGTACTCGATTAGTATTGTCCAAGAAACAATCCAATATGTCACATCGTACTGGGGGTGACAAATAAACACAACAGAGAAACATTTTTTTAATGGACCCACGTTGCTCAGGTAACCTAACACCAACCCACACATCTTCACACTCACTCTGGAAATCCGTCACACGCCAGGACTCAATTCTACGCGACACAGCCACCAATACACCGCCGCCGTCTTTATTTTTATGGAAACCAGTGGATTCACGATCGCGTCTATAAACAACATATCGATCATCAAAAATTCAGCATCCCTTTAGCCAGGTCTCACAAAGCATCACAATGTCATAGTTATTACACGAAATGTTATTATAAATATTCATAGTCATAGTTTTTGTTCTAAGCCCTCTGACATTTTGGTAGTACACATTTACTAAAATGTACACACCAAAGCATAACATTATAAAAAAATAAGAAAGGTTTTTAATTGTCGTTTCATCCTTAACAAAAATAAAATTGGAGGTATCTGTCTTCCTCATAAATATTTTTCCTTGTTTGATCCATACATATTTATAGCCAAGGTTTTTGGCAGCAATTCTCGCAGCAGCTTGCAATGCCTTATTGCTAGGTGACAAATGATCAACAACAAATACTGGTTTTGCGTCTCCGGCTATACCCAAATGTGAAGAGTTCAGTTTGTCTTTAGGATTCTGCTTATTGAATTTTATTGTGGCCGCCAAGAAGGTATCTCTTATATAGGGATTAGCAAACTGAACAACAATAGAGCGAGGACGCGTACTAGAGCTATTCATTTTCGCGATCCTGGTGCACTGATGAATATCAGTCTCCTTGATGTTACTTTTTATAATGTTTTCAAGTTGCATAACAAGTGTCAGTAGATGTTCAGAGTGATGTTCAGGAACACACTGAATTTCAATATTATTGGCCCGAGCGTGCTGTTCAGATTGTGTTACACGCGTAGAGAGATCTTTGACAGCCGCCTGCAAGCATTCGTTGTCCTTCCTAAGTCTGTTAATCAAGTCAATCTTTTGCTCAAACTGTTCCTTAAATCTGTCATAACTATCGCTGATAAATGTCATAGCATAGTAGCAGCTGTTTAGATCGATTTCTCTTTGAATGGGTTTGATACGCTCGTCAATGATATTGGTGAATTTAGACAATAATTCTGTCGTTATAGCAGACAGTTCTTCTTTCACAATAGTCCGTATATCATCCCCTGTTATGACCATGGCATCAGTCATTGTCCTCCGGATGGTAATGTTATTATTATCTCCTTGAGTGGCTTCGAGTTGCTCAGTTCCCAGAGACATACGGGTGGGAGTGAGAGTATTATCACCTCCTCGACGAGCAGTAGCTTGACAATTGATTTAATATGTATTTCTATATAAATATACCTATATATGTATCAGAATATGTATTGTATTCTATCCGTTACCCTAGTAACCTATAACACAATCCTACAGTGCTTATTTTGGCTAGGCAAATTGGTGTGAGTGTTGGAAATATTTATTATTATCACCATATCATGCAATGACCCACCACACCGGTCCAGAGTGTTGGTTGGTGCTAACCGCTTAAATAAACTGATTATATAACCGGTTTGTACACAGTTTCATATTTGGGGGATGAGATAAATTCTAAACAGGAAAACATTTTTCTTCGCAGGGTAAAAAATAAGCAGTTGAATGCTGAAATAAACATTATAACAAAACTGATTATTGATCAGAAACAACGTAAAAAATTCAATGAATTAAACGATCTGTAGCAAAAACATATGTTTATGGTTGAGAAATAATTTAAAAATCACGAAAATGTGGTTAATATGTCTGCTTCAAAACTGCGTAGGTAGTTTTTGAATTACGCACGCTTACGAGTAAGGGAGTGTTCAAGTATTACGTAACGCAAATTTTGAAGATTTTTGATAAACCCCACATAAATGTTACGTAACACCTAACTGACCATTTTTTACTCAAATGTCACAACTTATGTTGCGCAAACTACCGGAAAGTCGCTAAATTACTTTTTAATTTAAACAATCGATTTCTAATTCGCAACACATGTGTATTTAATTGATACATAATATTTATTTCATAAATAATCACACATAATTTAATAAGCAAATCCCTCCCCCCCAAATTGCGTTACGTAATATTTGAACGCTCCCTAAGCTGGCGAACGCGTTACGAAAAGTGCGATCGGGCGAGGCGAACGGGGGTTGAGTGGGGGATATAAGCAAGAGAAAGCAGTGCGCGCGCACATTTTCTCTCTCTTTCTCTTATAGCTAGCAAATGAAATATCTATATGTACATACATGTATAAATTGTATATATTTATACACACACACACACTCAGGGCAACAGGCGTTGTCCGCCGTTTAGTCCAGTCAATGAAGGCTTAACTTTGTCAATTTGTGTTGATCACCTGCAACCAACGCGAAAATTTCTGCAAGGGTTCGTAGATTAATATACTAAAATTGCAGGGTGCTGCATTGACGGCAAAGGGTGCAAAAAAATGCGAAATGGTGCAAAAACGAGTTTTTCGTCAATATCTCGCAACTGGCTGGGAAAATATAAAAAGTTCCTAGTACAAAGTTGTAGAAAATTTAATTTCCTACAAAAAAGGTATCAACATATTTTCGCGTATCTCCCATAGTTTTTGCACAAAATGCAATTAAAGGTGCAAAATAAAAAAAGAAAATATATTGTTAATGTCTTTTTTCCATTTTTAAACGATCCTACGGGTTAAATTCAACTATTACCACTTACTGAAATATTTAAGGATAAGTTTTCGGCAGTCCACTGAAATGAAAATTGTCTACCGAAATGGTAAAAAATGACCACCGAAATGATACAGCCAAGAACATCGCCTTTGTAGTAGAATAGAATAGAATTTTCAAAATAACGAACATAGCGCGTTTAGAATGTAATGGGTTTTTATTGGCTACGGCTAATTTTGCAACAGTCGGCTAGGTGTTGAGCCAGGTAACAGGGAGCGGGTGTTATTAAGACCGTGCCTGGAGTACTGTGTACAAAACTTATATAGAGGCGCCATGCACACAGTAGCAAACGATTTCAGAATGAAATGAAAATGTCCACACATTAAATGTTCAAATCCATTTATTTCCTGGTATTGGTATGCTAATACAAATTACTCGACCAAAAGATATTTAATTAAAATAAGTTAAATTTTATACGTTAAATTTCTTACATCAAATGGGTTTACAAAATGTGTTAATATAACCCGGTTTATCCATATAAACTGTCCATGCGGTATCCATACATGAACGGGTGCTCCAGACACACGTGGTCATATCCCCTGGACGATGGTATTGAAAAGGCAATGGGCAGCTTTTCACCTCCCGGGTGCATGCAACAGCCCTGGCTTGAGTCCACGTGTCTAGACCCTCGTGGATCGAAGCAACATCAGGTTGTTGAGATTGATGAAAACATGTGGCCGTCATGGGTCCTAAATTATGTCCATTTTATGCATGGGAGGTTTTGTGGCATTATTTTTGCTCTGCCGGAGCGAAGAACCAATTACAACACTTCATTTTTGAAGAAAAATCTCCTCACATCTTTTCTGATTGAGGCATAAGTGTGAAAGAAAAGACGCTTTTTCGTGCGGTGACAAACCTACTCGCATACCGAATACATCGAGACAGGTCATCGATATACAGAATCGAATCAATCAACTTAATGGAAAAAAAAACCACTATAAATGAAATGTTAATTGTAGAATGTTTGGAAATTAACATATTTCCACAAGGAGCGAAACGAATATATTTACTTTATTTTTAGGGATGAATTCCCTGAAAGAAACTATTAAAACTCAAAACTATTTACTAATTGATCTAATCTAATCGATCTAGCTATCGCTAACAATTAATACGATTAACCGATTCCGACCTACCAACCATGCAATCCCTATTACATCACAGATACAAACACCATTGTTCCTTTATTTGCACTGGTGAAGGTCAAGGCTACTATGTATTATACAGCCAGAACAAATGATAAATTTATTATTTTATCTATTTATATTAAATAACTAGCTGACCCAGCGAACTTCGTACCGCCCTAAAAAAATAGGGGTTGTCCAGCGGACAAAATTGTGAATCTAAACCATTCTCAGATCCCCTTGAACACACACAAAAAATTTCATCAAAATCGGTTCTGTCGTTTAAGAGAAGTTCAGTGACATACACACTCACAGAAGAATTATATATATAAAGATTTGTTGACTGTATTAATTTAAGATCAATTTATTTTTAAACTCAATTTATTAGTTAGTAAATCGTCCCCTTAGTGCCAAAACCGATACATCGGGCATACAAATAGGCATATTTTTAACACAGTTATGTGTCCGTAAGCATGATATTTTAGGTGTGGCGCGCAAAAAATAGGTCTCCGCAATATTTATACTTTCCCCCTCCATAGGGCTTCGCCCTGCCACGGGGCTCCGCTGCCCCACCCGCGCGCTCCGGGCGCGCCGGGTGGGGAGCGCAACATGTCTTAGAAAACCGTTCTATACAAACAGATTTTGTCTCCTACACGGTACATTTCTACATTTATTGATGTGATGCCTATTTATTTATGTAGTCCTATGCGAAATCTACCTAATACAATAAGTTTCTAATAAGAATATTAACAAATAACAGCTCTACGGCCCTATAAAGATTACAAATTAAAAAGTCTTAAAAACCTACTTACATTCACTTAATGCCTAATTATCATATATTATTTTATAGAGGAAGTAAAAACACACAAAACAACATCATTATCATTACAATTATACCTATATCCTATCGACTATTCGTAAAAAACTATATTTGACATTATCCTCAATTACGCCTAAACTATTAATAAGATTTACACAAAACTTTGATATATTACTCTTATAACTACCTGTTTCCTAATAAGATATAAAACAAATAAATCGAAACATAAAAACATACTATTTACGAATGCTTACAATTCAGGTCAAATCTTATAAGATGTTAGAAAAGGACAGCCTATCGTCTCTGTCCCTCCTATAGGTCGGAACTATCAATATTCTAACTAGTTTCCCCGCGCCACCGCTTGGCGTCGTGGCGATCGTTTAGACAAATTCTTATAAGATTGTTGGAGAGAAAGAGACGGAATATCGCTCTGAACTATCAATTTTACAATCGTTTACTATGGGCAAAGCTATCTATTATTGCGATATCCGACTCATTCTAATAAGACAGCAAGGGAATAATCATTTTAATGTGTATACAACTGATACATGTGAAATTATAGATACATTTTATAAATCAATCTCATATTGTCGTAAGTTTATTTCTTCTCGCTTCGGTCGTAAAGCGGTCGTCTCGTACAACTTATAATAATTAATAATTCTTATTAAAAAATAATGAACAAAAATATTTACAAAGAATAAGGAAATTTATTTAAATTCAAAATACAAAATACCCTTCTACTACAAAGGCGATGTTCTTGGCTGTATCATTTCGGTGGTCATTTTTTTTACCATTTCGGTAGACAATATCCATTTCAGTGGACTGCCGAAAACTATTCCTTAAATATTTCAGTAAGTGGTTATTGTTGAATTTGACCCGTAGGATCGTTTAAAAATGGAAAAAAAAACCATTAACAATATATTTTCTTTTTTTATTTTGCACCTTTAATTGCATTTTGTGCAAAAACTATGAGAGATGCGCGAAAATATGTTGATACTTTTTTTGTAGGAAATTAAATTTTCTACAACTTTGTGCTAGGAACTTTTTCTATTTTCCCAGCCAGTCGCGAGATATTGACGAAAAACTCGTTTTTGCACCATTTCGCATTTTTTTGCACCCTATGCGGGCAATGCAGCATCCTGCAATTTTAGTATATTAATCTACGAACCCTTGCGGAAATTTTTGCGTTGGTTGCAGGTGATTAACTCAAAATGGCAAAGTTAAGCCTTCATTGACTGGACTAGTTGTTGCCATGAGTTCCGAACAGTTATAAGTCGTGTGGTCATAAGCACACTCGTTTTTTTTGCTCAATGTAACATTTATTTTAACTAGGGGTCGTCAAAACTTAAAATGCTTGGTGGGCCGATAGATGTCTCCAGAAGTGTATATAACACAAAACTATTTGAAGAGAAAAAACATCAATGTATTACGTACGTACACACGTACAAAGTTTACATAATAAAAAAATACACAATATATTTCGCTTCATTAATAGTTTATTTATTAAATAAATAATTTTTACAAGTAAAACAATATTCAACGTTAATATTTCAATAGTTTAATAAACGTTACAACTACTTATTAACATCTTAATATTCTTAAAAGGTATATATATATATATATTTAATAGCGTGCAATTATTTTCACAGAGTTCTTTTCCTATCCGTATCGCACGCTGACTATGTGTGGGCAAAGTTAAATATAATAAAAATATATTATAATTATATAAATTTACACTACGTAATAACTGGCGAGGCAAGAAAGCAATCTGAAATTTTAAATATAAAATAACTTCTGCCAGTCATACAATTTTATCTCATATTTTCTGTACATACAATGTTATTTTCCTATCACTAGAAATGCTAAACAAGATTTCTCCACATATTATTAACACATGATGTAGGTATGATTTACACAGTAGTAAGTTTTAATTCGTATATTTTTTTTACAGACTATAAAAATAAAAAATAAATCTTTGGTCTAGCTAGAACAACAGAATCGTAGGCTGTAAGCGAAGGCACAATATTAAGGCATTCAAATTAACTATTAGCTTATTGAAAATTTTAATGGTAAAGCTAATCTTAAGAAAACTGTTTTTAAACAAGATTCCAATTCTTAATTTGAGTACATCTCATGCTTAGATTAAAACAAAAAGGGAAGATACGGCACTCGCGGCCCAAAAGTGTACCGCTTAAAATTGTGGTGCATGAACACAAGTCGCTTTAGTCACAATTTGACATCCAAATATGCATTTGACATACATGTGCACTCAATATAAGTTACACTCAGTATTTATGTTAATAAGATTAAAAAAGAACACAAATAGTTCAAGATCAAAAACCTAATTCCACGGCAACACTTTTCATTCGTAAAACTATAAAAACATAATTTCTTAAAAATCACGGTTTGTCTGTCTACTGTTATTTACTTATCCGTCATTTGTTATCACAGCTCAGCCGTTCGTAGTGAGAGAAAAGAAAACGCAGTCGTTTGCCAAGCGACGCGGACTCGCCGTTTCGCTCGCGCTGTGTCGAAGCGTACAATTCTGTCTCGCTCGCTCGATTGAATGTTTATTAACAGAAATGTGAGAGTTGCTTATGTAGTTGAGTCGGAGCATATTTTATTTATAATATGTATGCAACGATATTAAATACCCTAGATACACCACGTTCGCTCAAAATGTGTCCCAATCAGGAAGTGCTTGAACACCACTCAAGCACTTCTTGGTTCACAGTCACGCGCGGACCGTTGAAAAGTAAAGATGCCGCAAAGCTCCGTGAAAAAATACGAAAACAACACTTATACTATAAGTGTCGTTTTTTCGACAGGTATTTAATCAATATTTGTTAAGTTAAAGCATTTGAAGCAAATTTTGTTCTAATATTTACTATAAAGTATTTTAATAGAAAATATTTGTAATATTCAAATGCATGGTCGGTAATATAGCCGTCTCTTTTCCTCGCGGTCCGTAACTGCTATTTGCTAACAGCGCATTCAGAATTGAAGTTATAAGGTCTATATTCTTCCGCGTAAAGCAATAAGTCGTAAAATTTTACGAGCTTGCATTTTGAACTGTCTTATCTCGTTTGACGCATGCGTTTTGATTAAGACCTTAAACAGTATGCATTAAAGGTGACTTTCAATGTTTCAATAATATGGTGGCCTTATATGGTTTTTGACTACGCAATCATCTTACGGAGCTACGTGGATCGTTTAATGTACCTTTTAGACAGGTTTCGGTGGTGTATCTAGGGTATTTAGTATCGTTGTATGTACGTACCGAATCTTCCCCTTTTGTTTTAATCTAAGATCTCATGTATTTTCTCATAGAAAAGCAAAACTTGACAATATAATTATGCTACTTTGAGATTTTTTCAATTACATTAAATTTTTTTTTCACATCATACAAGCTTCTTTTGTACTCATTTTTTTTCTTATTCTATGATTATACACATGTATTATAAGAGCTTTTTTAAAATGGTAAACTTTCAATAATGGAAATACGATTGCTGAAGCGAGACAACATTATAGGCACTGTCTTGCTCCGACCGATGCTTGGACTATTATTTCTTCTTCTCTGCACATCAAATTATTTTAAAGAACCGACATAAATAATTAATAATTTAATGAAACATGTGTATCACAAAATTACTTATATTAATTAAGTTATAATTTAAGGTCGGTAATAGCTTGTGCTTGATTCTCATAATTAAGTGTATGGAATAGGATCGAGCTCATGCAATTATTTGTTTTTAAGTACGACACCGCTAATTGAAACATATTCCCTATTCTCGAGATGATTTTATAGTAAAGTTGTTCAATACAATATTTTATTATACGGTCAATACTGTTTCCCAGAGGGGTAGGCAGAATAACTTTAATTGAAGGAGCTCGATGATGGAGGTGGTTTGGGCGATCAGTTCAGCGATCGTTGAAGTTAAGCAACTTTCGCAGTGCGGTCATTGGAAGGGTGACCAAAAATCTTTTATCTCGAGTTCGTCCGTGCTTCTAAAGGCACGTTAGCCAGTTGGTCCCGGCTTCATTTGCAGTCGTAAGCACCCGCCAATCTGCTCTGGGCCCGCGTGGTGGGTCATAGCCAAATTTCCCTATTCCATCCATAGAGATGGCCTTTACCCCAGCAGTGGGGACATTAATAAGCTGATGATGATAATGAACTTTAATTCAAAACTAATTCCTAATTTGCGAGTAATAAACACTGATAACGTGTATGTCTTTTAAAGGAATGTTGGACGGGTTAGGTAATAAAGGTGCAGGGAATGTTTAGGGAATGAATTGTGGACAACGCATGGCACTGGTTCTTAACCGTTAAAAAAGAAGAATATTTTAAAAATGTATAATCCTCTTAACTGGAATATAATCTCATTATTTTGCCGGGTGTAGTAGAGAATTTGCTGAAAACTATGACAAAACTATGTAGGCACTACAGGCAAGACCAGAGAAATAAAAAGCCTGACCTGATCGCACTTACCTGATCGACTTATGGGGGGGGGGGGGGGGCATACAAAGCTGCATGAACGTTTGAAACGTCGTCGCATGGCAACGCGATTGTTTCTTCAGTCTATTGTCTAAGTCTACGGTTTTACTATAGAAAATGATTCATAGGGCCACTTTGCACCAACATCCATTCTGTACAGAATTGTCCCTAGCACGAATCAATATCGAATCCGAATAGTTTGCGAGTGCGAAATGTCAATGTCAAATTTTGTAAGGAAACTTTAACAGCAGCGCCACAAAGAATGTAACGAGAACTAAAAATCAGTACACATTTGACATTGACATTTAGCTTTAGCAAACTAGTGGAATTTGATAATGGTTCGTGCTAGGGGTACTGTTTATCATATCGTTCCATCTTTCTCAGTTGTTTAAAGTCAAATAAGAGACAGAGGGTTGAACATAGGATTTTAAAATTGACTTATGATTAAGGGGTCTTGGATCACAGACTTCAAACAAACTAGAAAACTATCTTAAAGGTAGTTTGTCATTCTCTAAACCTCGCTGGGATTATTCCGTGGTTGTTGGCGGTGGGTTTTCGTCCTCTTCTTCCATGATACCGCATTGTAATTCATACAGCTTGGCATATATGCCCTTCTTGTCGATCAACTCCTTGTGCGTGCCTGCTTCGGCCAACACGCCGCGGTCGATGACGCATATCATATCCGCGTTCTGGATGGTCGCCAGTCGATGCGCTATTATGAGGCAAGTGCGTCCTTCGCTGGCACGGTCCAGGGCTTCTTGGACTACCTGTTTAAATTATTTATTTATTATTAGGGAAATAACAGCATTCATTTACACATAAAAAATATAACATTAAGTTTAAACAAATGGTCTAGGGAATTTCCACTATAATTCATCTCACATAGTGTCTGGTAAAGAGAGAAAAAAAAAAGATTTTTGACATTATAATGAACATAAAAAAAATACAAAGGAATAAAAATGTTGTGCCTAAAACGAGTTACAAAATTAGTTTTTTGAATTTCAAAGAATTTAGATTAAATATATCAATGTCACTATATTTATAGATGTATGATTTCATAGCTCGCACAATGAAGCGATTGCTTGCATATTTAGTCCAATCCGCCGGAATGCAAAACGTATCACGTGCTCGTAGATTTGCTCTTGGACAGTTTAGCAAAACTATAGCAAAATTTTAATAAGATATAATGTTATCGATCTCTTGTATGCTGCATACAAGTCGCTTATATAAAAACTAGCGGCCCGCCCTCACTTCGCTTCGGTGTAGAGCTGAATTGTAGACTACAGTTTTTGTTCTCAGGCTTGTATTATACACAATGCCATTCATCTATGATTCTTCTTATACTTGCATGCAAAGTCTCAGCCCGATCGGTTTAAAATTGACAAAGTTTCATACAAACTTTCATTACCTATTTTATCCCCTTTGGGGTAGAATTGATCAAAATCCTTTCTTAGCGGATGCCTACGTCATAACATCTACCTGCATGCCAAATTTCAGCCCGATCCGTCCAGTGGTTTGGGCTGTGCGTTGATAGATCACTATGTCAGTCAGTCCCCTTTGAGTTTTATATATATAGATGGAGCGTGTTATGCTCGCTATATCCCTGAGAGATCGTGTACGTTACGAGGATCTACGGAAAAGGACAAAACCCACTATACGTCCACCTTATTAGGTGGACGTGTAGTGGGTTTGGGTGGACGTGTTTGTCCCAGCTATTATCTATTGATAATAGCGAATCAAACAATCGAACTAATCAGCGCTCACACCCGAGCGCAACGACGCAATCAGAACAAAGTTTTGGTCAAGTTATGAGCATTTGCTTTGCACACACAAAAATGTGGTGCGTCTGCACACAAGGTATGAAGGTTAGAGATAAGGAGAACGATCGCTATAGAAAATAGTGTCCCAGAAATATGGACAAAATAAGTAAGGCGCTGCGATCGCTAAGTTGTTGCGCTTTGTGCATTCGCAACTTCATCTACTTGTACTCATAAACAGCTAACTTCACAGATACTACTTACCGACACGGCAGCGCGGCTGGTGGCTGAAAAAGGAACTATAATTTCTACAATTTGTCATGAACAAGAACTTCCTAACCTCTTTCTGCGTTCTGTGGTGCTAAGGGTACTGTTGGGTGTTACGCAACCGAACACCGCAGCAAGTTGCCCTTTTTACATTAAATATGGAATCATCAATTCAGCTAATTTTTATTAGCTAATTAATATACATCAGCTACCATTAACGCGACGCGTGCTCAAAGGCAAACATAACCATTTTCGTACTATTAATTTTATATTTTCCAATTTTTTATTATTTTACATTTGTGAGTTCAATTATTATACAGTTATACAGTTGTACACGGACTTTGGACTTATTCTTGTCTAACCATATAAACAAAGGGACTGGACGCTAACCATCGAGCGGACAGAAAAACCTTTTCAGGTCAACGATATTAAATACCCTAGATACACCAACACGAACAAAATCGTGCCCGAAACTCGTTCAATGTTGGACTCAACCTTTTGGACAAAGTATACAAAAAGTACATTGGACGATCCACGGCGCTCCGTAAGATGATCGCATAGTCAAAAACAATATAAAGCATTATTTAAAAATTTAAAGGCACCTTTAATGCATACTGTATAAGGTCTTAAGAGCTTGCATTTCGAATTGTCATAACTTACAATTCGAAATGCAAGCTCTTAAAATTTTACAACTTATTGCTATATGTGGAAGAATATAGGCCAGTACCCCTAGCACGAACCATTATCGAATTCGAATAGTTTGCAAACCGAAAACAGCAGCAGCTCAAAGTACGTAACGAGAACTAAAAATCAGTACACATTTGACAATGACATTTCGGACTCGCAAACGATACGAATTCGATAATGGTTCGTGCTAGGGGTACAGATAGCAGGTACGTCCCGCTAGGAAAATATGACCGACCATGCATTTGAATATTTTCTATTAAATTTTCTTCAAATACGTTAAATTAACAAACATTGATTAGATACCTGTCGCAAAAACGACGCTTTACATACTATACGTATTATTTTCGCATTATTTCACGGAGCTCTGCGGCAACTTAAATTTTCAACGGTCCGCTCGTGACTGTGAATCAAGAAGTGCTTAAGTGGTGTTCAATCACTTCTTGATTGGGACATATTTTGAGCGCACGTGGTGTACCTAGGGTATTTAATATCCTGACCTGAAACAACGGTACTGACCTTCTCGCTGTGCGTGTCGAGCGCCGAGGTAGCCTCGTCCAGCAGTAATACGCGCGGGTTTCGCACCAGCGCGCGCGCAATGGCGATGCGTTGCTTCTGACCGCCCGACAGCTGCGACGCGCGCGCCCCCACTCGGGTCTCGTACCCCTGCCATTATTCATCATCATCAGTCCATTAAAAGAGAGGACGCGAGCTGAGAGACATTTGAGAAATAGGAATTCGTAAAAACTATTGCTTTTTTAAGCAAGTAACTGCTCGATGTTTAATACGAAGAAATGCCGCTGCCTTGTAGCTTAAGAAAGGCTAGAAAGATTTCGACACGGCCATCAGGGCCGCGATAGCATAATTGGTCAGTGCATTCGCCGATTAACGAAGGGTGCGGGTTCGAGTCCCGTCTGCTGCCTGGTCCGCGTGGATTTTTTTTCTAGTTATATTTTCTTGAGATTAAAACGTCACGCATTGGCAAATACCGTGCGATAGAGACAACAGTAGCTAACGCTAAAAATTGCGTTTAAAAATTGCAAAATTTGAAGGTTTGGCTCTCGACGATTACCTCCTCGAAAATTAGATATATTTCAAAGAAATGTGACACAAAGAATAATAAGTAGTTATACTATCCCTTTTTGTAAATGCTTATTAAATAGCATGACGAGACGTTTCTAGTAGTGATAAATATTTGTTTATTTTTGGCCTTTTTCGAGGGCTTCTAGTTTCTTTGAAACACAAGTTATCGAAAAAAGTAAAACATAGGAGCATTCATCATCAACCCATGTTCGTCCACTGCTGGACATAGGTCTCCCCTAATACACGCCACTGCTCCCGATTTTGTGCTACTCTCATCCAGCCCACTCCAGCCAGCCTACGAATATCATCATCCCATCTTGTCTCAGGGCGTCCTACACTACGTTTACCGAGTCGCGGTCTCCACTCAAGAACTTTCCGGCTCCAACGTCCATCAGTTCTGCGGCTAATGTGACCAGCCCACTGCCACTTCAGTTTGCAAATTCGGTGGCCTATGTCGGTGACTTTGGTTCTCTGTCGGATTACATCATTTCTGATGTGGTCCTTCAGGGATACTCCGAGCATAGCCCTTTCCATAGCTCTCTGAGCGACTCTAAACTGGTGGACTCGTCCAGCCGTGAGTGTGCACGTCTCGGCACCGTATGTCATAACTGGGAGGACGCACTGGTCGAAGACTTTCGACTTGAGACATTGAGGGATGGGTGACGAGAAGACTTGACGAAGCTTACGAAATGCTGCCTAGCCTAACTGAATTCTTCTATTGGCTTCTCTCTCGAAGTTGTTTTTGCCTAATTGGAGCGTTTGTCCTAGATAGACATATTCCTGAACAACCTCGAGAGGTACTCCATTAACAGCAACCAGTCCCGGATCAACGAGCTCGTTGAACATGACCTTGGTTTTATCCAAGTTCATCCGGAGACCGATGCGTTTGGAAGATTCAGCCAGGCTGCTCACCATCTCCTGTAGCTCTTGCAGGGTTTCAGCCAGGATGACGATGTCGTCCGCGAATCGGAGGTGTGAGATGTATTCGCCATTAATATTTATTCCACTTCTTTTCCAGTTGAGCGTTCCGAACATGTCCTGCAGCGCAGCAGAGAAGAGTTTCGGGGATCCCCTTGTCTCACACCACGGCGCAGCAGGACAGGCTCGGTCTGATCATTCTGGAGTACGATGGACATATTAGCGGCGTCATACAGACATCTCAGCACCTCGATATATCGCCAATCAACTTGGCACCTCTGCAAGTCCTTAAGAACAGACTAGGTCTCGACGGAGTCAAAAGCTTTCTCATAGTCCACAAACGCCATGCACAGGGGCTGGTTATACTCTTTGGTCTTCTGTATAACCAGGTTGACTGTGTGAATGTGGTCTATGGTGCCATAACCCCGTCGGAACCCAGCCTGCTCCGCAGGTTGAGCTTCGTCCAGTCTTCGTGCAAGGCGATTCGAGATGACTCTTGAAAACAATTTATAGACGTGGCTCAGGAGTGAAATTGGTCGATAGTTCTTCAGTAAGGTCTTGTCGCCTTTCTTGAAGAACAATACGACCAAGCTCCGGTGCCACGCTCTTGGAGTTCTCCCGGAGAAAAGAACAGAGTTAAATATACGCCGGAGCTCCTTCAGCATCGGCTTGCCGGCAGCTTTCAGAAGCTCGGTTGTGACTCCGTCCTCCCCCGGGGCTTTTCCATTTTTAAGTTGTCCAAGAGCCGCCTCGATCTCCTCTAGGTCGATGTCGGGGAGATCCTCCGTCACATGGCGGGTTAATGTGGCTCTTAAATCTCTCTCATCGGACGTAGGGTGGGGTGAGTGCGACGCGTATAACTGGCTATAATAGATATAAACTTCCGAAAAAATCTCCGGTTTCGACGTGACGATTTCTCCACTTGTTTTGGTCAACTTCGTAAGGTGGCTCCTTCCAAGCTGTTGTACGAAGACTTTAGACCCCCGGTTCTGCTCAATTGCTCTCTGTATCAACAGTGTATTGGAGCGTCGGAGGTCACGCCTTATCAGCTTGGAGATGGAATTATTCAGAGCCCGTTGTTCTGACGACGTGACTAGTGGATCGTTTCGCCGCTTGTCCATTAGATCCAGAGTCTCTTTCGAAAGCTTAGACCGCTTGCCCGTACGTCGCAGCTCACAGAACTTCGCACCCTCGTCCCGAAGGATTTCTACCACTTGTTCGAATATCTCGTCGATGTCACCGTCAATTGTGGTTTCCAAGGCAGCGAATCGATTTTCCAGTTTCAGTTGGAATGCGTTCGAACCAACGGCCGATTGGAGCAGATTTGGCCGGAGCGTGGACTTCACCAATCGACAACGTTCGCGCTTAAAATCGATATTCAGAGTGCCTCTTAGAAGTCGGTGATCACTTCCAGTTTTAAACCTATTGATCACTGAGACATCTCTGAATATGCGCTTCTTGTCCGATATGATGAAGTCAATCTCGTTTTTGGTCATAGTATGGGGCTCCGCCACGTCCATTTCCTCTGGGGCTGTTTCTTAAAGAACGAATTCATTAAGAAAAGCCCCTCGCGTTCTAAGAAACTGACGAGCATTTGCCCCCTATGATTCCTACTACTAACATTGATTCGCAGGTCTGTACTCCCACTTTAGCGTTGAAATCCCCCATGACAACGCTAATGTGAGCCTTGGTGGTGGTGTGTAAGGCTCGAGAAATGTCCTCGTACATCTCTTCCACGACATAATCCGAGTATGTCGACGTTGGAGCGTACACTTGTATAACCTTTAGGCTATACCTTCTGGTTAATTTTATAATGAGGTACGCAACCCTCGCCGACACACTGGAGACTTCAATAACGTTGACAGTGAGGACTTTGTTGACCAGGAACCCGACGCCGCCCTGTGACGGATTTTCTCCCTCTCTGAAGTACATAAGATGGCCAGACTTTAAGATCAGCGTGTCCTGCGGACTTCGCTCAGCCCGAGCACGTGCCATCTTATGTACTTCAGCTCCTCCTCCAGTTGTGCTAGATGAGAGTCGAGTCGTAGCGTGCGACCGTTATATGTCGCCAGGTTTAGTATTTTTTGACGGCCTACCGTAGCCCGGAGATTCTTAGCACCCCCTGCCCTGCCGTAACCGAGATCGCCGCCTTGGCCTGGAATAGTAGGGCTACCGGGAACTGGGGGCCGGGACAATATTGTACTTATCATGTAGGTGGGGTTTGGACCATAACCCACCACGCTGGTCCAGTGCGGGTTGGTGGGTGGTTTCGCCAGGGCCTCGTCTGTTATTTTTTTTTTTATTACAATAAATAGGCTTACGCTTGACGGCCACGCGACTGATGAAAAGCGACGTAGCAGCCTAAGGTGGGATGCGCTTGCCTAAAAGAAACCGATTGACTCGCGACTTGAAGAGCCCCAGATTATAGGTGACTGGAAACAGAGATTCCGGCAAAGAGTTCCACAACCTAGCTGTTCTAACAATATAGGTGGAAGCAAACCCTTTAGTACGAGTTTGTGGGACGTCTACGGTATATCTGTGGCGTTTTGCCGTCTCTCTGGTGGTTCTGTGGTAAAAAGGTGAAGGTGGAATTAAGTTATGTAACTCCGAAGCACACTCACCGAAATGTAACCGGTAAAAAACCGATAAAAAGGCAACTTTTCGCCTGTGTTCAAGACTTTGGAGTCTAGTCTCGAATAATTTGTCGTCACCGATGAGCTTCTTTGCACGCCTCTCAATGCATTCCAGAGACTCTAGCTGATATTTTGCAGAACCATCCCAAAGGTGCGAACAGTACTCCATGCACGAGCGAACTAGTGCTTGGTACAAGGTGAGCAGCTGTTCCGGAGTAAAGTACTTCCGCACCCTTGCGAGGACGCCAAGCTTTTTTGCAGCCAGTTGAGCTCTGGACTCAATGTAGGTACCGAAGTTGAGAGTTGAGATGAGAGTTATTCCTAGAAGCTCGAGTTGTTCGGTTACCGGCACGGTTACACCTCGGAAAAAAGGGGCCAGTTGAAACGCCCTCTTTTTAGCGGAGAACAGACATACACAGACAGACAGTCTTAGAAGCATTAAACTTGACCAGATTGGCATCGCCCCAATCGGAGACTGCCTGAAGGGACAAGTTTAAGCGGTTGACCATGGCTTCTCGGAGTGATTGAACTTCGGCCGCACTGGCACGCGCATTTGATAAATAGCTCTCTACGACTGTGCTATCATCTGCATACCCAAAGGTACCGGGTTTAAGCAGATCGTTGATCTGGAGCAAAAAAAGAGTTGCAGAGAGTACAGACCCCTGCGGAACTCCGACATTAACAGCCTTACGATGTGATTGGCAGCCATCTATAACTACTGTTATAGACCGATCACGCAGGAAGTCAGATATCCAGGCGCATAGTGCAGTGGGCAAGCCGTACGAAGGAAGCTTGCTTATAAGGCCGTCATGTCAAACCATGTCGAAAGCCTTCGAGATATCGAGAGACACGGCCAGCGCTTCTCCGTGCTTCTCAATGGCTTCACTCCAAATGTGAGTAGCGTACACTAAAAGATCCCCAGTGGACCGATTTCGGCGAAATCCGAATTGTCGATCACTGAGGAGGTCATTCGCTTCTAGGTACGCTAGGATCTTGTGGTTCAGAATACGTTCCATGCTCTTACAGAGTAAT